TCGCGTGGTTAGTTTCTCGCTCGGAATCTAACTCGATGGCGGAGGGTTTGTTTCTCTGGAAACTAACAAACTTTGGGTCAACCGTATATGTCAAAGACGGGTCAACACACCCGACTCCACGTCTGCACCATAGTTCAAGCAGTCAGCCCTGAGCTACTAGCCAACATGCTGAACAACAGAACCAGCTTTTCTACCCCCTTACTGGTTTCGCTAGGACGCTCGGACTTGAGGCTGTCTGCAAGATCAATTGCGCCTGATCGGCGAAATCTGTGCCTGTGAAGCTCCTCACCGGCCGCTGGGCGGTCGGAGGCGCCTCCTGGCGAGCAGTGAGGGCTCGCATTTCCATCTGATGCTCCGGACGTACTGTTGAAATGCTTGCTGAGACGTGCATGGCTTCATCGCACGCCTCTCCATACGGCGAGTAACTGAAGCCATGCGTTCGCGGCGCCGGAATGCCGGGTGGCATGGCCTGGCCCACGAAAGAGTGAACTGAGTCCCCAACAAAAACCTCCGAAACTCTGTAAAGAACGCGACCCTAATTTAGTACCCTTATAAAGCCTGCAGCTCATCCAGGCCCTTGGTCATCCCCTTGGCCCCTTTCGGGGGATCCTCGGCTCACGGCTCTGGGGAAAGGGGCCATAGAGCCGCTCCTGCCATGCACACCGAGCGACGGAATAGCGGACGATGAGCCTCGCTTGGACTTCAAAATGCCCACGGACTCTCTAGAGCAAGGAAGAGTCTGCAATGCAAGGGCGAACCGGTGAGCACAAATAGCACTTCAAGCCAATGTAAGCAAAAGGAGCGCTGATGGGAACAACCAAACCCGTGAGCCAGCCGAGCAGCTGTAGATTGGGTGCTGTCTCCTGGCCGTTCAGTCGGTCGAAACCTCGGATGCTTGCCGACGAAACCCTTTCTTCTTTGCCCGTCATCAAGTTGTGGGGTGCGTGTGGCCGATACTCTCTCTAGCGCATGCAGGATATGATGGCGAGGGCAGCCATAGCACACTGAGGATACCACACCACACTGCCTCATCAAGGGTGTTCATGCGCACCAGGGCAACCGTATCGCCTTGCACCGGCACGCAGTGGAGTGCTCAGTCTTCTGATGCCTCAGTCTTCTGATGCAGTGAGAGCTCCACCCTTCTTCCCGTTGGTGTCCAGCACCTTGACCTCGAGTTTCAGGCCGAAGCATGTCTCTTGGACAAAAATCGGTGCACAGATTCTTGCATGGCACTAAAGCTACATGCAGGCAGGGAGCAAAGGCGACCCCGGCAAATTGACCGAAGAACGCAGTAATGGTTTCCTAGGAGGCAGCGAATCCAAGAGCCAAGCCAAAACCTAAAGTTGAAATTTAATTCGCGGCCGTCAGCAACCCCTGAGCCCCAGCAGAATTAAGAGATGATTTAAAATTGGCAACGGTAGATTGCTCAGGCCCCTGGCTGCTGTTATGGCATTCTTCATTACGACTGTTCAGGGCCGACCCTGTGATCTGACGATGTAACGGATCCGGGCCACTGTGGTGCTCCCCGGCGGAAGGCCCATGACAAACAAGCTCTCTGTCGGGACATTCCTGAGATGCAGTTCACCTGTCCCGTCCGAAAGCCAGCGTGGGGCGTTGTGTCACAGAAGCCGACGAGCCGCTGTCTCTCGAGCATGTTCTTGACCTCGCCCTGTGGAACCAGCAAAAATAAGTGCTGAAGGCACCACGAGATTGGCAAAGGCTCGCTCATCTTTGTAGCTTCTAAGATTCCATTCTTCTGCCTTCGCAGCAGTACTGGACGACAGGAGGGTCCGGATTGTCAGCCCCTTGTGTATGCTGCCATCCGTTTGTCGTATTGCCTCAGCAAGACATATCTTCGCCTGGCTCGCAGAAGCCTGCCATGCCTTCTTGCTGAGCAAAGCGCATGCTGCGCTTCTTCAGGGTATCTGAATCTCGCCAAAGCATATCCTCGGGGATGCAAGAGGCAGGCACAGGGCCATGCGAGGCTGCAATAGGGACTGGACCTTGGCCGTCCATCTTCCCTTCACAGCAGACCTCCGCAGCTGTCGATCTCACCCGCACGACTTCACGAAGTCGCCCTGCCTTTATCATTGTGATCCTCCCCATGTCTTTAAACATCTGCCGAATTGACTCCTGCGCAGAACATTCTCAACCCTGGCATGCCTGGCCGAGGAGAACACATCTGGGTCCTCATCCGTGTCACGCGGCAAGCCGGTGATTAGGACCTCACCTGGGCCATAAGCACATCGTCTGCTGATGGGAAGGCAATGGAGTGATGCTGCCCCGATGTAATTGCACGATATTGCGCGACAAGGTCATGAGTCATAAATGTCCGAGCAGCTCTGATCCGCGGGGATGTTCCAGGGATCGAGCTTGCCTTTACCCTGCATCGAAAGTGAGAGGGACATCCTCACGCCTGCAATAGGATGGCATGCACACGCTGCCTTGCCACCGTCCGACTGATGTGGGCCGCGATCATTGTCCGCAAGCTTCACCTGTTCAACACGAACGACTTCGACCGACACCGAAGGCAACATCCCCTATAACCCCCACATCCGAGGCCGCTGCTGATATCACCGCCCCACCTACATCATACCTGCAAAAGCAGTCGCCAATTCGAACTCTGAAGCAGGAGCGAGAGTCTCAACATCTGCGGGTTCAATCTGGCGACTTCCGCAGTTTCCGGTTCTCGCTTCACGACGATTGTGTGGAGTAACAAATTGGCGGCTTCTTGGAATGAAGCGGCTCTGAGGCTCCGTCTCATTCAGAGATTTGATCGCTGCAGCGGCATGGGATGGATCGCCGTACCTTTGGTAAATGGATTAGCGGCATTTTGCCCTCGGGGAACATTCTGGCCACATCTGGCCGCCATGCCGTCCATCAAACGTCTCCATCTGCAACTATGTCAACTGCGGACATGCTGTTATCAACTTGTTTGCTGCGGCGTGGCTTGACGAAGGCATACCCGAAGCCACCCGTCCTGCGAGATGGACAGACCTCAAGTGTCCCACGAAATCCAGTTGAACATTGCTGCGTACAAATCAAATCTGCTGAGCTTTGGGCTCTGGAAGACCAGATTCTCCCGAAGCGCTCGAAAAGCTGGAAAAGGTGGGCATCATTAAAGCCTCCCGGTTTCCGAATTTCCTAGCACCACTTCAGTATTGGTGCGAGCCTGGCGGAAGGCCAGAAACATAAAGATTCCTTGGTGATCCCACATATGCAAAACTAATAATGCCACGCAAGCTCACTCCTGGGCTGAAGCTTAGTGGTGGGGCGGTCGCAGCAGCGGCTCTTTCCCGGATGCAGTCTTGGCTCGTCCCTGCCATCGACATCCCGTCAAGGGAGCTGGATGCCTGTGATGGCACGAGCACGGCAACCGGGCGCGCAGGAATGTGGTGGTGAGTTTTGAACTCCGAACTCACTCCGGCCTCGCAACCGCACACCTCGCCGAGTCATCGCAGCGGGCAGCATCAGCGACCGGCGCGGCTTCAGCTCCCAAACGCTGCGACGGCAAACAGGAATCTTCCTAGCCTTGACTCTTGGAGCTGCCCTTCGACGAACCCCGGCAAAGATGACAGCTGACGATCAGGCATGCGGAGCGGAGACCGCCATGCACTATGCTTCAAGCTGCAGGACGGGGGACAACCCATGCACCAGCCAGGGCTGTGGACAACAGAGGCTCTCGAACTACCCTGACGTCCTGGGCTGCCAGGGCATCACCAATGAAGAGCCCGTCCTGCCCACCATCGCGAAAGCATGGGGCAAAGCACAGCTGCACGGTGCATTGAGCTCCACCTTGCACCACCAGAGCAAGAACTTACAGACAGCGCCTTGACCTTGACCGCTCCAAGAATCTCGTAGCCTTATCAGTCACGCTCACGCAGTGTTGCTTGAGCCATGCCACGCTCAGGCCGCAGCCGAGACCAGCACCAGACATCTGCAGGCATCTGGGCCTTCAGGAGCCGGGCCCTGAGCAACTGCAAAGGCAAGGAGTGCAAGGGCGTGGAGGACTGAGCCAGACACGGACGTCACTGCTCCGCGTCTGTGCGACTGGCGCTTCGGGTCTACGGCTCTGGCTGCAGAACACGAGCTAGGCTCAGTCTACGATGATGTGCGTTGTGTTCAGACTGGCACCAAGGCCATAGACTCCTGGGGTGCGGGTGTCTCAGGGATGCTAGGTGACAAAGCTTGCGGCGGCTAGCTGCACAGATTGCTTCGTGGTGGCTGGCTCTGTTTGCAAATCTCCAAATTGAGCATCGGTAATTGCAAACACTTCCGGTTTGCTCGGAAATCCTAACTTTACAGGCGAGGGTGTTCTTCACCTGTGGCTTAGAGCCAAGATGTGGAATGGAACGTGATGGCAAGAAGCCTAAAGCAACCAGCACGCGTGAAAGACTCTTGTGAATGCATTGGCAGGCAGATGAGCGGATGAGCGGTCCAAGGCGTTTTAGACACTCGGTCATGGAAAACGATAGGCGCAACCAGCCGCGCTGACAAGAACATTGGAGGTCTATAATGCCCGACCGAATAGTCCTCCTGGGCTCTGGCAACCCGGAGTCCGCGTACCGGCTTCAGGCATGCTATGCTGCTATGCTGATACCCATAATGCCAGTGGTGTTGAGGGTGGTAGTTAGGATGCGGGCCAAGGCTCTAGGGAAGCCAGAGCAGCAGGAAAGCCTACCAGTCCGTGCGCTCAGTTCTTGCCCAGAGGAGGCCATGCTAGACCTCAGCCGGGCTGACCAAGCTCACAATCCGCTTCGGCCCCTTGCTGTGGCGGACAGCGAATCTCTACACCGCTCTACACTCTACCACCCCTTACCAGCTTGCTCCTGTACACGAATACTGTCACATACTGCAATGTGGATGATGTTACTACATCTTACTACATCAGCACTCTTGCGATTCGGCAAATCATGCGTCCAGTGCTCTGCCTTCGGAGCTCAAGGTGGCATTCTACGCATCACCACGAAAGACATCAGAACTTGACCAACACTGTAGCTTCCGGCCAGCCGAGGCAGGCTCGACGCGTCTACAATGTACCCTTTGGCTCATGGGCCTATCCCCGCTCAAGCTCGCCCCTTTGTGTCAGCCTCTCCGCCTTATTCGTGCTCATGGGCCGATTTGCCAGCGCGAACAGCCGCTCCCACTTTGCTCTCTGCGGTCCCGTCTGCGTAGCGTTTGTAAGTGTCCTCAGTCATGGGGGTGACGGGTGCGCCCCAAGCAGCTACTACTGCGTCCCTGCTAGATTCCTTGTGCACTAAAGAAAGCAGAAACAGAACACCCAAGTTTGCCGAGCGTCCACCAGCCTCTCTGGATCTGGCAAGGTGTCCTTCACCGCAGGCAGTGCCAGACACGCGTCCAGCCAGGTCTGCAAAGGAGCAAAGGCCACGCGGTCGTAGCCGAAGCTTGCGTCTCGATAGCGCTCGATGATGCCACACGTGAAGATGCCTGAGGTGGGCAAGGAGCGAAACACCTCGAAGGCAACAAAAAAAAAAACACTGGGGCTCCAGCGATAGCACCAAGGTAAAGCAGCAACGTCGACTATAGAGAGGTCCTGACCTGAGGGCGCAAAATAGTGCCAAAAAAATCCTTCCCGTCCCGCAAAGATCGGGCTTCCAGCCAAAGAAGAAAGGGCCCTGGAGATTCTCCTGCAGATCGGAGGAAACGACGGCTGAAGCTCTGTCGCAGCGCCAGTTCTTTCGAGCTCTTACGCGAGCAGCGCGTCATTGATCTACGGCTAAAAACATACGCCCAAGCTGCTACATTGTAACAACTTTACATGTTCGCCACAAGTTTATACACTTCTTCTATGCCGCTTTTCTGCACTTGTCACGAGCCTACGGGTACCTCCGGTGTTTCCCACCTTGAATACACTTGCAGAAGTACGCTCTGATCAAATTCCGTTTACATTCGCGATTGTATTCATAGTTTTTTAATTATACAAATAAGCGATTCGGAGGATTCCGGCCTAACAGACCAGAGGACTTCTGAACGGCTAGTCAGCGGCCAGTCTTAACCACATCATCCGGCAACGACACCATAATTATGAAGAGAGTCATTGAAACGGATCGACATGCTCATCCTCTCTCCGTGGCAGTGCTGTGATAATTTATGCGAATGACTTGCATAACATGTCTTCCGTTTGCGATATTTTGCATGCGGCAACATTATTCGTTGAACGACCGGAAGGGCACTGAAAAACATGGATACCTAGTTTCAGGAATCACGTCAAGTTAAATGCATGTGCGGTGTCCCCAACAGATCAAGGAAGCACATTGCACGCTGCCCAAAACGCTTGTTCTCTCTGATTCTCTCTGTGTGCTGGACTCCTTTGTCAAATGAAGCGGAAGTTCAGTCACTGCAACTGTAGCAAGGTTCGCAGGCGCCGCCTGAAATTTCTGCAAGGCCGCTATGAGCTTCACGTGGCCCTCCCTTCGCCTCTCCACGTCTGTCGGCACGAGCACGGCATAGAAACTCGAGCCTCACGGCCATGTGGCCCGTGCTCTAGCTACGAAATTACTAGCTTCTCACTGCATACAGGATGTAGAACAGCTGAGCTGCTGATGTTCTTGTCTGCCCAACTCGCCCAAATCCGGGCCCTGGCCCGAAGGACAGGGTCCTCTGGGAGCAGAGGTTGGCTGAGGCTTCGCTTCACCGCAAGGTCGTCGGCAAACTCCACGCAGGTGAGGGACTCGTAAACAGCCGGCTGGGACTCGTCTGCTCGCACCTTTTGAAGCCAACGGCAAAAGAAGCCATTAAGGCGCCTTTTGGTACGTGAAGAAGAGGAGGCTGAGGTCCCGACGATTGTGGGCACCAGGCCCGAGGGGTGGTGCTTCAGAAGCAGCGGATGCTTCTCATAACCTTTGGCATCCTCGACTCCAAGAAAAGAAAAGCCTACAAAACCCTACAAAAAGGGGCCTACAGCAAATCAGTATAATGGGCCAGGGGATCCTTCAGCGTCTGCCCCGGCTCCAGCTTCAGGGTCAGCGCCTCTACGTACTCCTCGGATGAGGCTCTTAAAGCAGTCTGGACATGGCTCGGCCTGGACCCCATGTCACTGCCACGGCACGTACGGAATCTTGTGATGGTTCAGTGCAATCCACGCTCGCTGCCTGAAATTCTGCTCTGCAGTATGCAGACTGTGGACAGGGAGAGACATCTCCACCGGAAGAACATGCTTAATGCTGACAAGAGGCGCATAGGGGCAAAACCATGCACACAGAAACTTCCATGCAGGATCTTCCTTTCGCTGGCGCTTGCTCGCGACCTCGTCCTCTTCCATGCCGAGACGCGGCAGCAAGACAGATCTCGTCCGCGCCGGCTGAGCGAGGGGGCGCCAAATCCCGCGCATCAAATCGAGATCCGAGGCTGTTCTTGAGCCGTCCGGTGTTCAGGCCTATGGAGCACCGAGCTGGACTTGCTGCAGTCTGAGTTCTTCACGCACATCATCGTGCATCGACGACGGCAGCCACTTAAGATAGCCTCTGTGCATGAAGTTGATTGAGAGACTTTTGAGGGCATTCCAGCCAGACTGGCCTTCTAGAAGGAATCGCCGGTCGCTCCTTTGTCTGGAAGCGGCACTCCACCCCCGCGTGGGACTCTGCTCACTCTGCTCCGCTCCTCCACTTCGCAATGAGTTGGCGACGCGACCCTACCTGCATCTCTGCAATGGCTGCAGCTGTCTTCGGCATTCGCATCTCTGACTCGGCTGGGGCCCACACCCGAAACTGCCAGAGTGGGCTCACCTGAGCAAGCTAGCCTCGATTGTGTGCGATTCTGCTGAATGTCTACGAGTAAGGCATGGACCACAGCGGACACTCTCGGATTGGTCGGGGCCTCAGACAAAGCCAAAAGTGGTTATCGAAGCGACAGTCGAAGCCAGGACCCCAGCATGCAAAAGCAAGGAAGGGCGCGCCAGCAGCTTGTCCTCCACGACTTCTCTTCTTTACTACGGCTTCTGAAAGCTCAGTGCTGCAGTGCTTGCGCCTGAGATGGCAGACCCCGGACCACTGCACCTTCCAGCAGCGCCTCAGCTCTCAAAATAAAGCCCCCCTGCTGCAACGGTGCTGAAGGCTCAGAAGCGAGCCTTGGCAAAAACCTGTGAAAAAATCATATCTTCTTCTCGGTCACACCACGGCACCACGGACAACAGTTACTGTCGCTGCCTTGTAGCGAAAGTTCGACTCGGACGGCACGTCCACCTCCCGAAATAAGCCACAATGCCCACTGGCTCTGGTATCACCGGCCTTTGATTCTGGCCTCCACTGTCGGCAGCGAGTACGACAGTGGAGCATACAACCTCTGCGATTCCGCGATTTACCGACTGCTTCTAGCAAGTTGGTTTTGCCAACGAAATTATCTGCGTCATGCGTGCTTTCGCCCCCATACACACGCGCACACACACACACTCACTCTCCCTCTCTCTATCAGAATTGCTATTGTCGGGTCGTGGTATCGTTGTCAAGTGCATAATATCTGGCGTCATGTTGCGAACTAACATACACGTATGTGGTATGTAGCGGTGATGTATGGATGTAGCGAGGTCGAGTGCGTAGCAGAGACGGTCCATGTTGGATGCATGCACCCTCTCCTCTGCGGAGAGTCTTCTCAGCTTGTAAATCACTCTTGAGACAGGGACGGGCTGGCAAAAGCAAGCACTTTGTCCTGCAAGAATGTGACTTGCAATCTTTGCTACACTTTGACGCCGGGAGCAGTTTGCACCAGTCCTGCTCTGACAAGTATCGAGGTCCTGGAACGGGGAGGAACCTGAAAAGCCGAGCCGCTACCCAGTGCACCCTAAGCCCAACTCTCTTCTGGGCTTCGAGCTCTCCGAGCTGCAACAAAGGGCAGCCACCGGCAGCGGCGCGCTGGAGGCCAGGACGCGTGTCAAGCGCACTCTCAGAGTCTAGAGGTCTGACTCCGAGTAGCTGCAACAATGAGAGACTTCGCAAGGCTCGTTTCCCCAAACCCTGGAGCAACAAGACTGGTCTGCCATCACATTCAATTGCCCCACAATGCATCTCGTGAAAATCCCTATATAGTGCGTTAAGACGCCGAGCCCGAAATCCATCGCGGCGGGTACGCAGCGGCCTTCGCCAGCTGCAACGGATCCACCGTGACGCAGTCCCTGCATGGCCCCCGAAGACTCAGGTGAACGTGTGTAAGCCGTCTGTTCTACAAGCTGCACAACAACTGCACCGTAGACCCGTAGAACAACAAACTCAAGCACAACGACGGTGACCTACTGCAACTATACCGCTCGATAACGCCAAACCCATGAAGACATGAAACTATCACCGTGTCCGTATGGGAGCCCCTACTCCAGAAGAGGCATACTCAATAGGCTGCTCGTCTCTGCTAAAGCTGCTACAGGGTTCGACTGGGACGCAGCTACTTGTAGATCTTAGCCGTCATGGCCGTTTGATTCTCGTGCCCATCGTGCCTCATGAAGTGTTTGTGGGTGGATATGATTTCCTGAGTGGCCAGCTTGTGCAAGGCTCTTTAGCATGCACATGCGTGCACGGATAGCATCCAAGAGTCGTTGAAGACCAACACGGAAGGGTGGGGCCTGCGCATGCACTGGTGCTGGGTTGCGCTAAGTCGGCAAGGTCGGGTGCCTGTGTCTGAACGCATTCGACGATGTGTGGATGAAGACGGGATGCTCCCGACCCAGATCTGCACAGATGTAGGCGCGATTGCCTCCACCGTGGCTCGATTGATGATAGATGTCTGGGACAACGGAGGACCGCACCTAGATCGGGACAGGCGACAGCGACCCGGTCCAGCAAGCCCTCGACGATGCACTCGCCTCAGAGGTCCACATGCGCTCCGCGCAGCCTTGCAATGCGCTGTTTCCCCGGTCGAAGCGGTCTCAGGTCCCAGGAGTGCCAGGTGCCCGACGAAGGAGCAAAGCCTGCAAGGAAAAGCATGGCAAGTTACACCTGCCTGTATCCCTGGAGGCCTGTTGTGAATTGGGTGGCTTTGGAAGAAGCGGCAACTGCAACTCCAGTTCCGTCTCCCTTGGTGGAGCAGGCTGATTGTGACCGCAGGTTCTTGCATGTCTGCTGGCGAACGTCTCCGCCACACAAGAGATCCTTTTACCGAGCACTGCTACAGCTGGAGCTTCGACGTGGGCTTGCAGGTCAATGCTCAGCTTCCAGGACGAAGCTCAGGCACCGACGATAGGCTAAGCCTGCGCCTCACATGGCAAGTGTCGACTGATCGTGGTCGGCGTGGGCATTGCTTGGCTGGGATTCGAGCTGCAGCAATTCCGCTAGCTGCTGCATGAGACTGTGGGCCTCCAGGAACAGTTGCCAACTGAGTGTTTTCAAGCATTAGCAAGAGACATGCCTCCGCCATTTGACGAGGGTTGATCTTATTCTGCTGGCAGAACGACTCAGCAGCCTCAGCTCCCAGAGTGGCCCCATCCATCTCCGGACACACGAGGCGCTTTGACGACATCCTTGGCACCTGGCAGTCTCTCCACCTCTTGCGGCCCAGGCATAGCCACCTGTTGCTGCGACCGTGAAGGGTCCATTGTGCCACCGGCAAACTCTCAGCCCGCAGCCCATCAGCCACAGCAGGCCCTCTGCATCATCTCGCAGCTGGCTCCTACAGCCGACTCGGAAGTCGAGTCGTGGTGTGTGAGGAAAAGCGAGACAAAGAGCCATGAGGTCCATGATGAGGTGATGCAAGAGCGACCGGGCACGAGCCCGGCCCGACAAAGGGCGTCACCACGGCCCGAAGCTCAAGGTAAGGCAGGGCCAACACAGTAACAACAGCGCGACAGAACACGAACAAAAGAAAGAAGGAATCTGAACGACAGGACGGAAATAGGCAGCACACCACCACGACGAATTCAAGCTGTCGTGCAACGGTCACAAGGGGTCACCGAGAAGGATATTGAGCACAAGCCCTCGGCATGACGACGCGATGAGAGACAGACATGAAATGGGGGGTCTCCGAAAATAGGGGACCCTAATATAGTACCCTAAATAGTAGGATCCTTATTGATATAAGGACCTTTGTTGGGTACCCCTTATTTTCGGGAGCCCACAAATCGTTGCCACGAAGAAGTTGACCGTGGACTGTGGGCACACCACACGGGAGCACCGGAGCAAAGCAGTTGGCTACGAGCATCTACGAGAATACCGTCTCTCTGAGCAACTCGAGGATATCACCGGAGTGACAACGCGCCGCAATTGCAGTGTTAGCTTGGTGGCACCTCTTTGGGTCACGACATGGGCAATTCTTCAGGTAGCGGTCGCAAGCTACCAAGCAAGCAACTTGTCGTTAGTGACGCCCCGGAATTCCTGTCCAGCGAACCAGGAAACCAGCAAACAAAACGTCCAAGGCAAAGGATCCCACGGCGAGAGAAAAGAGAGTGTACCAACGAATCCGTGAGCAGTGGGGCTTTGCCAAGGTGTGCAGCACATTTTGCTCAGCACATGCTACGACTCAGGCAAGGGCCACTTTGGGGCCTGCTTTTTCGTAGCCTCGTCCAGTCTCCGCTGTGCCTGCGGAGACGCACCTACTCCCATCCGGTGTTGACGCTTTTGGACTTGCTAGGCACTCCAAACGTACCCAAAATCTGTCTTTTGCCGGAAACCAAAGCTTCCGCGTCGCCGTCTGCAGGCAGTGCGGCACATCGGCGGCCTTGGCTTTCGGGCTTGAAGCAACCGGCCCCGGCTTACGCTTAGACCATGGCCGCACAGCCGCACAACCTCTGCCTCTGTACTTTTCGACTTTTGCTTTGCCCGGCGGCCCCTGCAGTCGCCCGCCCTGCGGCCCAGTGGCCTCGCCAAGCTGCCTGGCTGGTCCTGCGATGGACATCTAGACAGCGCCCTTCTGATCTACTGCATATAGACTGCATGCAAAGCTCTCTGGCATGGGCGTCGACTTCGCGTCCACAGGCAGCGCTGAGATAGCAGCTGGCGGTGTGAAACAAACCTGGAGCTGCACAACCTGAAGGGCAAGCAGCGTAACCGAGAGGGCCTGGCCCATGGTATCATTAGCTCCCTGGCTGGAAAGCCGCTTGTTGTTCTCATGCAGTGTTCTGCAACGCCCTGAAGCGAGCAATGATCACGGCATAGTCATAGACGGCCCCCACCCAAGCACGAAGCGACTTTGCTCCCTTTGAGATCCTTTCCACCCACGCAACCTGCAGCTCAGGATTGTCGATGTACCACTTCAGTTGAGCCAAAGTCTTGGGCGAGACTCGTTCCGCGTCCAAGCTGAGCAATGTCTGAAGCAGCGTCTTATCGTTCATCATGCTGCGCAGGCCGGGCCAATCGTCGTATGGATGCTCTAGCAACAACGCAACCGCCTCCAGAACAAGGCGGCAAACAGCGGGTGGCTTCATGAAGCTCTTGACTTCAACCACATCCGCTTTGGTCAAGGTGTCTAACGCTGCACGTGCCGTAGCCAGCGCGGTCTGGAGCTGGCTGCTCAGGCCATCGACCTCGGCACCTAGGCCAAGGCGCTCTGATGCCTGCTCCATAAAGGCCTCAGCCGAGGCAACGGAGTAGTGCAGCTGCCCTCCAGCGCTTCCCCAAGCTCCCGCGGACTGCAGCGTCACGGTGTAACGTTCCATCGGCTCGCTGCCGTCGTTGAGGAACAAGGAGATGATGCCAGCATCCGGAAACTTGGGCCGAAGGCGATCGACGATGTCCTTATAGGTCCACGTGGGAAGGGCCTCCTCCAAGACCAAAGCCTCGCCCGATAAAAGGGAGACGAGCTCCAAGCGGCCTCGAGTCTCGGCTCCGAGCTCGGCTCCGAGCTCGGCTTTCGCCTTGGCCTTGGAGCTTTCTTCGACGCTGTCGGAGATCGCCTTCGCCGCCTTTGCCCGCTCATCCCTGGCTGCCTGTGCCTCCGCCTTCGCCGAGCGGAGGTGCTCCTCCGTCAAAGGGAAAGATGGATCCGGGCAGCCACAAGAGTCTCCCAAGGAGTGGCACCAGCGCAAGAGCAGGACACAGGCGGGGGAGAACAGAGCCATCACCTCCGTGGTCAACGATGTGACCTCCAACTCTGAATATAGAATGTCGCGGATGCGATGTTGGTCGCTCGGATCCGGTTCGTACGCTTGCAAGCCGGCTATAAAGTTTCCATCTCCCTGCAGCAGCTCTCGAATCTGCTGCCAACTGTCCGCTTTCGTGCCTGGACGCGTGGACCTGAGAATCGCCTGGAACAAGGTGTTGACATACGTCGGCACAGGGCCACTCAAGACAGTCTTCAGGTCTTTCGAGGCGATGAAGTCCAGGTCCGATCTGGCCTTCGCCATCGGCACCACATTGGATGCCATGGCGACAGAAAGAGGTGGTAATGATGCTAATGCTGCTAAAGCTAACAGGAGCAGTTCTCGCCTTTCTTTGGAAGTGCATGCGCTTGCTAGATCGGTCTGTGCGACTGATCTCGTGAGCCCCAGCCCGGGATCTATGTTGCTTCAGGCCCCGGTTCTGAAGAGCAGCTCGAGCAAGTCTGGTCGTAGCGAGGTGCTGAATCCATCTACTAGCGTCACTGGCCTCGCCAGCTAGCATACTAGTCTACCCCGTCTGACTGGTTTCTCTCATCACCTGAAACAACCAGAGCCAAGTTAAAATTAACGGTGTCGCCGCCGGCCTTCTTTCAAGTCGCACTGACGGCAGCGCTTCCAAAAGGCCGCCCCCATGGCGGCCCGCAGCCGTTCTGCAAGCTATTGTACACGGCCTCACACCCCATGCTGCTTAATGAGTGAAAGTCCGCACAGCTCCTGCTAAACGCGCTATGCCAGGTAAGGATGCTGCTAGAACCTTCATGCTGACATTCTGCTGCTGATCGCATGATGTGATGCAGTCTGTGCCAGGAAATATCTCGTTTGAAGTGATTGCGGTGGTGCAGGCGACACTTCATCCCTAATGAAGCCCGGCGCCTCTCTTTGGGCACGCACGAGCTCGTTCTCGAGCATTGCGGTCTTACCTTGCACAGGCGAACATGACTCCAACCCATAACGGAGCTGGCTGTGGTACTTCTGGGGCAAGAATGGCATGCAAGCACCACCAGCCTTCGTCCAGCTCCTGCACAGATTCCCAGCATGTCAGATTTCCGACCTGGCTGGCGGCAAGCTCGATGAAAGCCGGTTCTTTCGTTGGACTCACTCGGCGCAGAGCAGATAGAGCAGCGACGATCGCGCAGGCATGGCCAATGATGTGATCCGCCTGCACACGGGTCTGAACCATGCTGAACGACACACTTTGCACAGTACTTAGAACAGATTTTGTGAGAGTTGCCTAACCGAAACACTTGCTGAACCACTGGCATGACGAGAAGCCTTTTTCAGCGAACCTCCGACCAACCGTGCATCCTGAAGTCACCTGGCCTCTGTACAAAGCTCAAACTCCAGGCATTACAGTGAGCAGGCGATGATGGCTCTGTGCATCATCCTTTACAGCCTAATTCAGAAATATCCGCGATCGTAGCCTCCTGCGAGAATCGCCTGAGATTTCGCACCAGAATGTCTTCCACGTGCGAGCGCCGCCGCTGGAGATTCTTCCCAGAGATTCCGGGAACCGAAGGACTGGCCGTGCTGCGCAGCTCGAGCTTCTGCTCGAGCTGCGCGGGGCCTTGGCCTCGGCGGTTCCGGGATGGGCCTGAGACCGGCCGAGCGGGCGCGCGCCGCCCGAGCAGGTGCTTGCGGCCCTTCGAGACGGCCGCTGGCCCGACTTGGCACCGCAGCTCTCGGAACCCTCGTGGCAGATTCGGGCCTGCCTGCATTTCCCTCGCGCGCATGCCTCTGCCGTGCTGCAGTTGAAGGAGGTGCGGGTGCTGGCCTGGATTTGGCCGCTGCAGCGGCCTGTCGATTCGCAGAGAGCCGTTGGGCAGATGGCGTTTGGCTTCGGCTGGAAGGCAGTGACCTTCGTCCAGATCTGCCACGGCTTGCACCCCTCCTTTCACCGTCTGCAGATGCCAAGTTCGGCCTCCTTAGTTGCACAAAGAGGCATTGGAGGCATTGTGCCACAAGGCGCAGTAAAGGCTGCCCAATTCAATTCAGAGTAGGTTCTGCCTCAGCAGCTCTGTGGCATGCTGGCGCTCCAGACAGTCCTCGCCTGCAAGTCTGCTGCCCAAAAGTGACGACGTCAGGTTCTTTTTTCGGGTTCTTCTCAGCCCGCAGCCTGGTCCCTGAAGTGCCAGGCCGCGGCAGAGGACCCAGTGCGCAAACTCATCGAACAAGACCATGCCTGAAACCAGTGTAAGAAGTGTCATCACTAGAGAGGATATCGAATGGATGTCAGCGGAGGCCAAGCCTCCACCATCTGCGTCGACCTCATTGAAAGCTGCTGCTGCGTCGCTGAGGTCACCAGGCAGCCGCTCGTTGAGCTGCGGCAGTGCCGCCCGGAACTCCTGAAGCAACGCGCGGCATCTCAACTCGATGAAAAATCACGAGGATGGCAGAGAGAAAACAAGAAACAGCCGCTCCTCTATGCTGACTCGTTGATCGCAGCTCGTGTCCACCTAACAAGGCGGGTTGGGGCGCTCAGTCCACTTTTTTACACATCGAAGCTACCTTGCCTCGCAGAACCAGGACCAGAGCTGCAGGTAGTGATGCAAGTACTGCACGAAGTAGTGGAACTCCTTCTCGTCGATGTAGTCGTTGCCTCAGCCGGTTGACATGACGGGGGCAGTCGTCAACACGCGGCCTCAAATGGCAGTCAGCTGGGTCAGAAACAGTCTATTAGGAAAGGTTGCAGAAGGTAAGAACCGTTGTTTTGGAGAAGAGGGTTTCCTGGCTTTACAGCACTATAGAGAAGAAGACGAGAGTCTGAAGGCTGCAACAGGCGCCGAGATGGCTTTCGCTGCATGGAAGGCACGAGCCACCACCTGCTCAGAGGCACGCTCAGTCCTCACAGCGCCGCCGACCGCGGCGGCATCGTAACGCACTCTGCTTGCAAGGCCTCTCGTGGCAACGGGCAGGGCAGCAACTTCTTCAGCCCATCATCAACCTCTGCAAGAGACAGGATGGCGTTGCCTGAGCTCGTGCATTTGCCACAAGCTGCAGCCCTGTAGGCTAGGAAATTCCGCAACGCAAATAAGACGGCGACCGTTTGGGTCAAAGGAGGCGAAGAGCGCCCGGCGCTGCGAGGCGGCTGCCTCCGAGCGCCGAGGCTTCTCGCCATGTTCGCATTCATTCTGCGTGCCGCCATCCGCTCTCCGCTTCCTCTCTTTTGCCTCGTCCAGGCCGCAGGGCAGCTGAGCCGCCAAGCTTTGCACAGCTTCCGCTGCTGGCATTGCTGCCGCAGCCATGGCGACGAACGCAACAGAACACGCCAGGCGCCGGAGTCCTATCTGAAACTTTGACGTAAAGCCTTTGGCGACGTCGGGATTCGTGCAGCACAAGGAGTGTTCGACGGGCTCGACTTGCTCTACGGCGGAATATTATCACAAATTGAATCCACCTACTCGTGATTGGTGACTTGCTTCGGCTAGTCCTCTTCGACACAAAGAAGTGTACAGTGTTCGTGCGAGAATGATATAATATCAGCTGCATCTGCCTGATTGATGAGCTATCCCTGCTGAGCCTTTCAGAGGCCGCAGTGGCAAGACGCACGAGTCCGAGGCGGCTTCACTCCGGCGGGGGCGCCTTGAGCTCCGCACTGGCTGTGATGGCTGCCAAGAGCATGCGAGCATATCTCGGAGCCTTTGGAAGACACAAACATGGGAGCCTCCTTTCGGCGTTTCAGCCTTTCGCCTACGAAGCCATGCCCTAGCGGCCCCAGATTTCTTCGGCAAGCGGCCACTGGCAGAGCTGCCAGGCCTGAGCCGCAAAGGCTTCCCCCCCCTCGCACCCCGCACTCCGAGGCGCTCAAACAGCCGAGGCTCGGTAGCCCAGCTTCGTGCACCTCATCGCCGCCACGCGTCAACACAGCTTGCCGAAGCAACGCACTCCCGGCCTGACCGTCGCAGAGCTTGCTCTGGAACCTCAGCGACCAAGCTGTGAGCCGGCGCGAGCAGGCGAGCAGGTGCCAGGTGCCCTGCCCTCTGTGTTGCTGCCTTTCGAAGCTCAGACTGCACAGCTTCGGTGCTGCATTCGGGGGGCTCCGACCGTCGTCCTCAATGGCTCCAATGGCACGCAAACGGCGGATCGCTGCCTGGCTCCGGATTTCAACACGCAAGCGCTTTTGGAACGGGTTGCATCCAAGAAGCAGCAACGGCATCACTCGGCGGCGGCGTCGGCCTCGCCGGAAAAAGTCTGTGCGGGCAAACGAAAAACGTTAAAACTTTCGCTCTCTGGGTGCCAGGCCAAGGAAAGACATCCAAGCGAGGCACCCCTAGGAAAGCGAGTAGCAACCTCAGAAGCGTTTTTTGTGTGCCCGTACGACGCGTCAGGCACCTGCTTGGGCATGTCGGTCCCTTTCGTTGCACGAATCATTCTTTAACGACGGAATTGAGAGCCCGAAATCTGCTAGTTCTACATGTCTAATTAGTTCAGTTGCCGAGGGCTGCATTTGGCAGCGCTGTACAAAGCCGAAAGGCTGCAGGAACTGAGCTGCCTCTGTGCTACGACTGGCTGGCTCCATGCAACAACTCCAAAGCCGCATAGCAGACCACCATGAGACCTGCCAAAGAAACAGTGCCAGAAAGAAGTTGATTTTCACACAATTATCAAATCATCCTTGCCTGCATCTACCCCTGGACCCACGTTGAGCTTCAGCTGCTGGATTCCTTCTTCACGTAACGTGGTCCAGCACAGCAAAACGTAGGTCCGTGCTGACGGAACGGCCCAGACTTCATGCAGTCTGAGGTGCCGCGGCTGTCTGCCTCTGCTACACCAGAGTAAGCCAAAACCTTCCCGTCGTCGTCAGTTGCATCTATGCTTGTCGACAAGCTTCCTTGAAAGCCTGAGCATGCAGCAGGCTGGCGCCCACATGGTTTAGTTTACCGCTACCCGCATCCCATGACTTGTGCAGCGGCGGAAGGGGCGACGGCTGTCAGCCATCAGGGTGAAGCCGGAGTCGAGCTTCTTCAAGTTTGCAAAGCGCCCACCATGGACCTGACGTGAGCAGTGCAGATGGCCTACTGCTGAAGCCACCGATTCCGACGCCTAACCTTGTGTTATGCCATGCCAGCTTCCACTTCTTGATGGGGAAATTGCGGGTTCATACTCCTGGCACGGCATGGCCTTGTTGTTTTCCAAGGCGAAACCCGTCGTAACCGTGCGGCACAGGCAAAACCTTGCATCGTGGGTCAATTGCCGAAACAAATACGTCTTGAGACAAAGCATAAACTCTCCTAATTCGGACCGCTGCAAGGAGCCTCACGTCCTTCATGGGGCTCGACAAAATGAGCCTGCAAACGCCCATCAAGCTCTCTGGTCAACGGTTGGCAACATATATAGTACGTCCTAAACGTGTAGGTTACAGTGACACAAGCCAGACTGCCTTGTACCATCGCTGCTTTGGCCATCGGGAATTGTTTCCAAGAGAAATATTGTCCCACCCTTGACGTCCGAGACTGGAAGCGAAGATGAATGGCCACGCTGGAGCGGCACCAGCAAAGTGCAGTCCACCTTCTCTGGCACCACCAGCTGTGGGCAAAGAGATATCAGCAGGCTCTGCCCCGTCCGCAAGCTCTGCGAGCTCTGCAAGCTCTGCGCTTGCGGACTGAGCTCGGGAGGCCGGATTCGGGCTGGGCGGGGACCTTCTTTGGCCGCCCGTCGGGCTGCCGCCTTCGGGCTTTCGCTCGCGGTGTTCGCAGTGCTGCGATGTGCTGGGCTGCTAACCCAAAAGGCACCATCCTCCGTCTGCCTGGAGAGGGCACAGAAGCTGAGCACTGCCAGGAGGATGCCAAACATCACGAGATAGGGCATGGAAGTGGCGACTTCTTCTGGTGCCACACCGCTGAGGGAGATTGCAACGTGCCGGGCGACAAGAGAGCCCTCCTCCAACAGTTCGCTCACTGAGCGGCCCCCATTCTGCCTGTCAGGCCTCGGCTGTGACCCTGCCCAGCTGTGGGGACTGACTTTTACAATCGAGGCGAGCCTCATCGAGTCGCCCGCCTTCAAGGGCACTTTCGCTTGCGCTGCTGTGTGGTTGACCTGGATGAGGCTGCGACACGGGGCTCCCGGTGTCCTTGGCAAGTGCAAAGACTGGCGATGCTCCGCCCCGCTTTGATTTAGCCAAGCCTCTGTGCCTCGCATGCCTCCTCACCAGCCGCAAGGAAGGCAAGTGCCAGCAGAATCGATACTGTACCGGGCCTGGGCCATCCCATGCTGAAATGATGCAACTGGGGGCTACAGAAGCAGTCTGTAGTCCAGGTGGCGGCGTCTGACGCATCTTGGACGAAAAATACGTAATTGGTAAGGTACCTCAGCTCTCGGGAAGTTTCGCACAACCGCTTCATGTCGAACACGAATAGACAAGCGGCATTCCGTAGCCACTGCTTTCAAGGGCCGCCATGGGCTGCTGAGCCGAGAGAAACAAAGACCAGAAAGAGCGACCAACTGTGACCAAGGACCTGCGAAAAAAAAAAAAATACTCCCGCCAGGGCTGCCACAGAACTGGGTCCATAGGCGTATGCAACATCGGGATAGGCCTGCATGCGGCATCTACCAAGCCAGTTTGGACTTGTGCCCTAGATTCAATGGCCCCGACGCAAACTTCGTGAAGTAATTCTCGTACGCAGCTGAAGAATAGAGGCCTCGTGCCAGGAGACTCGAGGCTGGTCTACTTCGCACGTGTTCCGGCCGGGGCTGCGAGCGGTAGGTGTGGCCAGGACCCAGCCGGCCAGCCTTGCCAGCTGTCGAAGCAAACAAACCTCGACTATCCGAATCCGGAATCCCTCCACACACCCCAATCCAAGGGATTCAAATTCTGCGGCATTTGGGTTCTGGTCCGAGGATATATGCATTGCCTAGACAAGACGAGAAACCGGTAAACACCCAACCTGCATGGGCAGGTGCGATGGACGCAAAACCGTTATGTCGCTATACGTCAACCTATCGGCTACACAGGAGGCCTTTGCAATGCCGAGGAGAACCGAAGCGGGCAAGGCTAAGGAGCAGCTTGTTGCAGCCAGATCATGGCAACGCTTTGGTTGCCTGGGACTAGGTGGCAACGAGGTGGTGTCACTCGACATCAAAACCGTCTGCTCGGTGTCGGCATCCTCAGTTCTTCCTGAAGGCTGCTTGCCATGGACAGGGGCACCGCTGCAGAGAGACGGCTCAGCAGCATGCTGTCTACTTCGATACCCTGTTTCACCAAAGTTCGGAAGGCCACACAGGCCCAGGTGGGTTCCTTCCCTTTCTCGCAGGCCCTCAGCATGCCCGTCCAGACATACTGGTTCGGCCGCACTCCGGCCTCCTGCATTCGAGCGATAACATCCGCAGCTGCATCCACGCGAGCCAACTCAGCATAGACGCGTATGAGTGCATGGTAACTGTGCTCATCAGGTTTGAGCCCTTGCTCTGCGATCCGTTGTAGCACCGCTTCAGCCGAATCCGCATCTTTTGCCTTGATACATGCCTGGAGGAGCACGTTGTAGAGAGTGACATCTGGCTGCAAACCCAAGGCCACCGCATCCTCGGCGAGGGCCATGGCTTCGGCCAATCTGCTCGAATGGCCAAGTCCCTGCAAAATAGGGGTGTAGGTCTGCACAGTGGGAGTGAGGCCTGGCTGTTCTTTGATCATCTGAAGAAAGTAAAGCGCAGCATCCACATCTCCGGACCTGGCATTGGAGTTGATGAGTGTGTTCATGGCAACAATGTCTGGCTGCACTTTGTCCATCAGCATTTTGTCGAACACTTCCCTCGCCCCTTTGGAGTCAGCTGCTCGAGCACAGGCGAGCAGCACGTTGGTGTATGCAGTCACGTCAGGGGAGATGCTTTGAGAACGCATGGTTTCCAGCCAGGCCAGCGCACCCTGCACTTGCCCCTCTTCTGCACATACTTGGACGATCGGTGTGAAAGACAATGCATCAAGACGGACCTGCGACTGGCCCGCGCTGTGCAGGTGGAGTCGGGCCTTGTCCGTCTGATGGCTTCTGCAATATGCGGAAATCACAGCGTTGTGTGCAACGACATCTGGCGTGAGCCGGGCAGCTTGCATCGACCCCAGCAGACTTAGGCAGTCTTCGGCAGCAGAGCGCTGAGTCGACCGGGCCACGGCGCTGATGAGGGCCGTGTACGAGGTGAGGTCTGGCTCGAAGCCCTCAGCCTGGGCCCGCTCGAACCATCGCCGCGCGCCGCCGGAATCTCCCAGCCGGGCAAAGGCATCGACGACCGTGTTCACGTCCACCAGGTTCACTTCCCCAAACCTCTGCAGCTTCTCTTGGAAGCAATCACTAGCTAAGGCCGGAGAGTTCGCTTTGGCATAGGCATTGATGATCATGCTGAAAACCAGGGGATCACACAGGCCGAAGCGCTCCTCCAACTTATCGAGCCAGGATTTGGCCACATCCGGCTTGCCGGCGGAAGCAGCTGCCTCGACCAACTTCCCAAAAGACTTCACGCTCGGGTCGGCACCTGCCTCCGGGTACGTGTTGAACCAGCGAACAGCACCTTCCAAGTCACCAGCATTTGCAAAGGCTCCCAGCACTGAGTTGCGGATGTACGGACGCTGCTGGAACTCTGGCGGCAGCTCTTCGAAAAGCGCCATGGCCGCTTCAGCACGCCCCTCTTTGTAGTGTTCGAAGATCAAGTCTGCCACTTGCTTCGGGGACCTGCGCGCCATGCGCATCGTGCGGCCGGTGCACCTTCGCCATGCGTTCACAATGGCCGGCCCGGCGGCAACACAGAACCTTGCCGGCAAAGCGCAGGATACCCGACGAAATCGCGCGCTTTGACGACAAGGTGCCAAAGCATAGTCAGATGATCGTGCGGTGACAGCCCAACCAGGCGCCGTGTGCATGCTTTCTGCGCTTGCATTCGACGCTCAGGACATGAACCGAACAGCTGTTAAGGCTGGAAAACAACACTCCCAACTGGGCTTGCTCCGTGAAGGAATAACTGCCGGCTCCACGTTTCGTCTCTTGAAGTCTCTTGAGAAAGCATGGCAAGAAAGCCCGCTGCTTATGCTTTCATAGGCCTGCGCATGGCTTGTGCCAAGTCCCTGGCACGTCCGGCACGCTGATCGGCCGAAGCCTTGGAGATCCTCTGAGTTCTCAAGAAACGAAGCTTCTAGTTTAAAGTTTAGCTAATCTTCTGTTGACCGCACTTGACTTCTGCTCCGATTGCATTTCAGGCACAGGTCCTGTCGATCACGAATGCCGATACTCCTGATGCAGCTTTGTACCTCACCAGACCGATGGCAAGCACAACAGCTGATGTCGGCACATGCGCCACAACATGTGGCAAAGATGAGACTGCTCGTGTCGTGCATGCAGCGCGATGCAGGACTGCCACTTTTGATGCCTCGACGCTGCCACAGGGGCAGAGGCTCACGGCCCCAGCATGTCCGTGTAACGCTGCCGGAGCTCGCGCAAGTCCTGCAGCGCCTGTCTTGCACTTCCTTCTTGGGGCTCGGACTCAGGCCGGTCGGAGGATCGGACGGCATCAAGCTCACTCCTCAGCTCTCCGGACATCCTCCAAGCTTCAGCCAACACCTCGGCCTCGCTGGCACGAGCTTGCTGCACCCGTTGCTGAAAGTGTTGCTCTCGTTCTTCCAAGTGCCGATGCAAAGACTTCCGTGCGTTCTGTGCCGCCAGCTCGGCACGCTGCTGTCCTGCGCTGGCCTTGGCTTCCGCTTTTCGGGCCTCCGCCGCCTGGCGCTTCCACTCCCTCGCGGCCTCGCTCTCCGTCTTTGCCGCCAGGGCGGAGTTGGAGTTCGCCAGCCGCGCCGCCCGGTCCGCGGCATGGGCCTCGGCCTTCCAGGTGTCCGCCAAAGTCAGCTGCGCCTCCGCAGGCAAGGATCTGAGAACAACCTCAAAAAAACCTCTCTCTCACACCATCCTGGGACCTGCCGTGCCTCGCCTCGAGGTCGATGCGCCGGCGCCGCTCCGCACGCAGCTCCTGCTCCAGGATCGTCTCCCGGCCCATCACCTGATCGTGCTCTTGCTGCTCTGCGCGAAGCTGCTCGCCGAGGTCGCGGATCTCATCGCAGAGCTCCTCCTCCTTGGCCTGCCAAGCAGCCCAATCCTTCCTTCGGGCAGCATGCTGCTGCATCACCACCTCCGACCTCAAACCCGTGTCTGACGGGGGACGTTCTGAGAAAAGAAACCCGGTGCATGAAGATGACGCAGTAAGCTTCCGGCAGGCGGAGTGCATATCGCTGCAAGGAGCCTCCTTCCAGGTTCAGAGGGCTTCGCCCTTCCTGGGGCTCCTTCCCGGCTGGCTCACTCGGCTCCATGGGTCTCCCGATCCATAGCCATGGTGCCACAGCACAGGCAGCCCATGGCGGGTGTGGTCACTGCATCTGCAGTCAGGATTTTCCTTAACCCAGGCTTCGATCCCTGCGTCGGCTCGGAATCGGCTAGGATGGGGATGCATGTCCCTACGAAACCAATGTGGGCTGGAGCAACGTCACCAAGGTTTGGGTTGACATTATGGTTTGCACCATGACCAAGTGGCTCTAACTGGCTCGCACCGCCGCCGCTTCTCCTTCCCTGTGTCCACGACATAGCGCCTGTCTTGGTAAACTTGTCTGTCAAAAATCAGATTTCACTTCCAGGATCCCTGGGTGATGCACACATTGGGCAAGGTGACCTGAGTTCAGAAGATGGAACAGCCCAGCAAAGTAGATTCGCTGGGCTTCTGACCGACGTTTCAGCCACGTTGGTCGCAATCACAACCTGACGCTCTCGCAGGTTGCCCAAGAGCACATCACTTCAACAGGTCACAGACCGCCGAAAGGCTCATGAAAACAAGGCTAATGTCAGGATCATTCCAAGCAAGCCGGCTGCTGACACCACAGCGGAGATGTAACACTCTGTGACTCCTGCTCTGTGATGTGCCTGTGCTTGGCTCCGAGATCCTGGCCACGCGTTCACCCTCCGGTGGCTCCGCGAAAGGGGCCAGCTGCCTTGTTGCGGAAAGCCTCGGCCCGGCTCGGCTTTTGGGGGACCACGGGATCACAGCTTCCTGCGAGAGGGCCATACTAGCGGGTTCTTGACCCCATGGGCCCATGGATTTAGCCGGTGAAGGAACACTCCAAACTTTTTTTATGGACTTGGGGCGCCCCAGTCCTGTCAGAGTGCTTTCAGATTGACTCTGTGTCTGCGCTATGGCTTGGACGCGTATGAGCTCACTAACTTTGGAGCACGCCCCAATAGCCGTGTTGAAACTCAGCTCGTTGACTGGTATGCTTCTCCTGTCCATCTGATTAACCAGGTGGCTTGCCACCTCCCACTGTGCAAGCCCTTCGATGGCCGCATTGCAGCTCACGACATCAGGTTCTAAGGCAGCATCAGACATGCTGCGAAAAAGGTACAGTGCTTGATGCCAGCTGCCCAGTTTTTGGCAGCCAGCCATGATCGCACTGAAGCTAAAGGTGTTCGGCTGCACGCGAAGCTCACTCATCGATCCAAGAAGCAGCATAGAAATTTCCCAGCGGCTTGCTTTGGCACACGCACTCATGGCGCTGCTCATTGCAACCACATTCGGAGCCAGATGCATCTCGTGAAGGTGGCTGCAGAGATGTAGCGCCAGCTGCCACTCCCCAGCCTTCTCGCAGGCATCAATGGCACAGCTCCAACTGAAGACGTCCATTTCCAGAGACAACCTGGCCATCTCCTCAAGAAACGCCAAAGCATGGCGCCACCGCCCTGCAGAAGCGCATGCGCTCACAAGGGCATTGCAAACCAGAATGTTCAGGGGCTGCCGCTGCTCCACCATGGTCGACAGGAGGTCCTAGGACAGGAAGTTGTGGCCGACTCAAACCCACAAAACAGGACTGAAGGCGCTGGAAATGAATTTCTGAAGGCAAGATAAGGCAAGGAACAACTGCCAGTGCCCACTTGCAACCCTGCTCCAAGGCACCGAGTGATCCGACGCTTGTCACCGAGTCCGGGTCAATTCCGCTCTCCTGCAAACTGCTCACCAAGTCTGAGGCACAGAGCCACTGGCCGCATCGAACACAGGCGTTGATGGCGCTGTTCCAGCTGACGATGTCCTCGCAAGGAAATTGAGAACGTGGTAGACTGGTGGACCCCTCCATCAGTGTTGGATCCGGCAATGAAAACTCCGTGGGAAGATGGGGAATGACCACAAAGCAAGGTGGATGGTTGCATCTTGCAGAAGGAAAACATGCCTCCCACAAATTTCTAGGGGCTTCCGAGGCACCAGGTCCAGCTGGCCGCCCATGACCTTCGACTTGCTGCTACTATAAGGAGCCGGTGTGCCACTCACTCAAAGGTCACTAAGCCAAACAATTCCGAAGGCTTTTAAATCGCCTGACCTTCGCGGACTCCAAGGAGATCTGCCAGCAAGCTTCGTCAGAGCAGGTCTTCAAAACGGAGTTGAGACTGAAGACATCTGGCCGCGTCTTCCGTTCGACCATCCTTCCCAGCAGGCTTAAACCTGCCTGCCACCGTGCGCCCAGGGAGGCGATTACCGAGTTCCAGGTAACGACGTCCGGACACGCCTCGTTTTCGCGAATGGAGCCCAGCATCCCAAGGCTCATCATCCAGTAGCTCTGGCTGCTTGCGGCATGGATGGCTGCGTTGTAATGAATGATGTTGGGCCCAAGGTGATGTCGTCGAAGGACCTGAAGCACCCGCCAAGCGCTGTTTCGGAAGCCCCGCTTCGCCAGGCTTCCAAGAGCCCGGGTTATGAGATGCGGCTTCCATCGCCATTCCTCCAAAACCTTGCAACAGTGTGCGAGCGGATTGGCTTTCCTGCTTAAGGCTTGCACGAAGCTGCGATGTGCCCACGCTAAGACGAGTTGCCGGCTGGAGTGCGCCCTCAACAGCCTGGAGCGTTGCATAGGGCCCGCGTCGCAGGACTGCCGCCACCTCCGGCGGCGGTCCGCTGCGTGCCTTGAGGCTGGGGAATGCCGGCGCCTTCCCTGCTTCTCCATCCATGCAGCATGCTGTGTCCAGCCTACTGCCTCCGATACTGTGGTCCTGGCTCGGGTTTGCACATTGGATGGCACCTTACGGTCCTGGCCTCTGTAGATAGATCCAGGCGCTATGTTTCTTCTTGACCTCCAGCTTTGCTAGCTCTAAGCTTGGACCAAAAGACCCGAAGGGCGAAGTCTTTCGCTGCACATGCGGCCTGTGAACCCGAAACCGTTTCGCCTTTTCAAGGTCGCCCTACAATAAGCTTACAAGTTTCAAGGCCTTCTGGGCTAAGCTCTGCCAAGAGCAACTGCACCTGCAAGCTCCTCCCGGCGTAGTCACATGCACGCAGGAGCGAGCTGACCGTCAAGGTGTCTGGCCGCAGTCCGCTCGTTGACAATCGAAGCACGTGCGCCCAGGAGCACGCATTTTCGCAGGCAGCGATCACCGTGTTCTGCAGTGTCACGTCCGTCTCCTGGGACCCGAGCTGCAGCCGATACAACATCAATAGCGCCCATGGCCAAATGGAATCTCTGACACCCGCACCTATCGCCGTGCTGGTCATTGCGACATCAGCTTCAACTGAACTCCGCCTGCTGCTTGCCAGGATTGCCCAGGATTGTGGCCATGAGGAATGACCCATCATGGCAGAGTTCAGGATGATTGCATCCAAGCGCAGACCAAATGACGCCTCCAGTGTCAATGCCATGGCAGTTTGCCAAGCTCCTGCACAAGCATCCACAGCCATGCTGAAGAGCACAATGTTGGCGCGCATGCCTTCCAAGGCTGCCTGCCGCAGGAGCAGTAAGGGATGTTCCCACTGCGTAGTGCGAGCACATGCACCAGCAACGGCACCGACGGTGATGATGTCATGGCGAGCCCCAGATGTGGACAACTCGGACAGCAACCGCAAACCCCGCTGCCAGAGCCTGGCCTTCTCGTGGATGGTCATTAGCACATTGTATGAGATGAGGTCGCTCTGACAAGCTTTTGACATCTCGACACACGAGGCAACAGCACGATACCACGGGGCAGTGGCCGTGCATGAACTTAAGAGCGAATTGCAAGAAATAGTGTCGAGCTCTGTTCCAAGAATGACGGCCGCACGACATACTGATGATGCTGTCTTCCACTGACCGGCGCGGTCGCAGCTACTTATCGCGGCATTGGTTGAGATGACATTTGGTCTGACCGTCTGCTCGCGCATGTTGTTCAAGCCAAAGACTGCTTTCAGCCACCTTCGGTCACTGGCAAAGGAACTGATGACGGAACTGAAAGCAACGGAATCCAGCCGGAGCTTTTTTGTACATGCGTCCTCCATGATCCGCAGTCCCTGCTCCCACCTGGCGCCCCTTTCACAGGCAGTCACCACCGTGCTTTGAAGGATGATGTCTGTTTGTAGGCCAAGTCGTTGGCAGTGTCTTGCGACGGCCACCGCGGCCGTCCATCGCGATCTGCAGGAGCTTATCACAGTTGAGGCTCCCTTTAAGTCGGGCTCGCATGCAAGGCTAAGTACTCTGCTGCAAGCTGCCAGTGCGCGTAGCCAGGCACTGGCCACATGTCCCGACGAGTTTTGGAAACTTCTGCGAGCTCGGGAAGCTGCCTGCTCAGTTCCTGCTGCGTACTTGTGCAGTTCCTGTGCCCTTGGCAATTGAGCCTTGCAGGCCTTGGCCCTGTCGCCATGCAAGCTCATGTCGAACCATGGCGGCTGTCATGGCACCTGCCATCCCGACGGAAAAAAGGAAGTGCGCGCGGCTTCACGCTGAAGCACTGAATTTCTTGGCTTTCTCGGGACTGGTGGCTGCAGCATGCATGCGAAGCATCCGCACAGCAACAAGTGTGATCTTCCGAAGCCTGTGCTGCACTGCAGCAGTGCGTTATCATGGCATGATGCGGAGCCTGCAAGGGCAGCATACAGGCGATGTTCTCCCGCAGAATTCTACCGATTCTACCACCAATCACAACGGCCCAGGGTTGCAAACGTCAAGCTGTCTCCAGGCTTGAGCATCGCACTCAAGCAATGCCGGTGAAAGAGCATTTTCTGGGCCCAGCTGTGCCCTCACTCCCTGCAACGCTCCCGGCTCCACGGATTCCAGCCGGCGAGCCGGACTCCAGCGGCGACTCTCGCTTTGGCGGCGGAAGAACTCCGAGAGAAAGACAACAGCTTTCCCGGACACTGCCGAGAAATTGCATCCAGGTTACGAAGGGATTTTGGGAATGGAAGCGCATCGGCATGTCGCGAAGCTCACTTGGTTAGAGAGGCTCCAAACTTCGTCGGTGCATCAAATCTGGGGGCACGCGAACCACGCCGACTTAGAGTGAGTAAGTCTTCACGATCGACTGGTCGCACATGAGGCAGGAGGCGGGACCATCGTTACGAAGCATGCCTGCAATGTGACGGACTTCCATCTACACGCCTTCTGCCGCTGACTCAACGAAGAGCCGGTACGCTTGCAGCAGCTGCGGCAAAGCATCGAGGGACATCTTCAGATCATGCGGAATCGGCAAAATCACCTCGCACTCTCTGCCAGCAGCATTCAGGAATGCCAGGCAGTATCGATGGAGCCAGTTGCGAGGGCTGAAGCTGAGGTCCGCTTCAAAAGTGCGCAGACTGGTGTACAGGGCGTCCTTGGTAGATCTTGACTAGAGTGACTCGATCATGGCCCGGACTGCCGTAAGATTACATGTTGCCAACACCGTAAGAGCTGTTGGAAGGCTTCTGTACAGCTTGTAAGACTTCAGCGCAGGAGCGCAAACGGTCGGCAGCCCGACATGCGCAAGGTGGCAGCGGATCTGGTGCTGCCGTCCAGTGACTATGCGCAGCTTCAAGAGGCTGGTGGCACCTCGAAACGCGAGCTTGCAAAGCTCGGAACCACTACTTAGGAGAAACGGCCGAGGCCCACGCCGATTTGCGCCGTCGCAGATCCGAGTCGCCGTAGCTGCGTGGCACTGGGCCGACCACGACCCCCACAACGGCTGCGCACATCCCCAGCGCCCCGCTGCACCGATGCCGTGACGGCCCGCCATGAACATGGCGCCCGACCCCGGGAGAGGACAAGGTACTCCCGGACGAGCTGGCCAGCGGACAGCTGTACCTGAGTGAGGCAACTTCCATTTGTTCGGCCCGGTGGCAGAGAGTCAGGATCACAGAGCTCGCGCAGCTCGCCTGGAGGTCGCAGTAGGCCCGATGAGACTTGGCTACGAGCAGAAGGCCCTCGGTGGCGCAGAGAAGTGCAAGAAGACTTCATCTCCCTTACAGTCGTCTTTTGAGCAGAGGCTCCGAGTTCGGAACATCCAAGCGATGAAGGAACCCGTAGTTGCAAGAGGGATCCCTCAGAATGCTCTCCCCCCACGTCTCCTGCGGAGCCGAAGTCTCCCGAGCAGATTTTACAACTCCAGATGCGTATGCTCGCAACTCACTGATGCAAAGCTCCGGCCTGCGCAAAGGCTCTCAACTGCCGCTTCTGAAGGTTTCCATCGTAGACCTGCCAGGACCAAAGCCGCAGCGGTGCCTTTGCATTCCCCCTGTCGCGACAGGGCACCTCCCAGCCCGGAGGCTTGAAGAGCACCGCCCGGTCTGTCATCTCCATCACTACCTGAAAGCCCTCCCTTCCGGGCATCAGAATGCACGCAACATATCACAACATGTGACGCTGGGACATTCTTGTTTGCCCAGGTGCACAAGGACTGCTTGAACGCATGCGTTTGCTGCCTTTCACGCTGGATAACGAAGTGCCACCAACTTCTTCGACGCAGCCTCGCAACTGCCTTTCCACAGCCTGTGCATGCTGCAGAATTACGGATGGAGTCCACACACATCCGTCGCATCTTGTTCCGTTTTGCCTATTGGCAGCCTATCGTCGTCAGTCGCAGTCGTAGTCTGCACAACGCATGTACCCGGTTATGACTGGCGAAACACCCGCTGTTACTCCTACGTTCTGCGACCGGCTGCCTGCTGGAAGCCAGCGCGCACGCAGCCAGCGAACTTGCAGGCCGCAATGATACCCAAGACGTCGGGAGTGGGCATGGGAAGTCCCAGCTGCAGCCGGTGAGTCGCCTCCTCTTGGATCTGCAGCAGGAGACCTCCGCTTGAAACTCTCGGAGTCTTAAACTCCCTTGAAGCCCCATGGGGCCCCTGGGGCCCCTATGGGGCCCTATAGCCGCTACAGGCCTGCAGAGCCGAAGGCGGAGGCGGAGGCGCCCCAGGCGGTCGCAAGCAGACCCTCGGGCTCCCCGGCACGCGCGAGAATCGATGTCTGAAAAGGCTACGGCCCGGCCAGGGCCTCGGAAGACATCCGCGGCAGCTCCCGAAGGCTCGAGGCCTTCAGACTTCAGCTCTCGCAACAATGGAAAAGCATCTACAAGGTTTGGACAAAGGTTGGAAGGGGAAAGACTGGGCCATTTGCAAACTGCAGCCGAGGTGCTATCAGTGCACCAGGGTCTGCTGCGGCCCCGGCACCAAGCATAGCACACGACCACCAGAAAGAGGACACGTCCTGGCAGAACATGTCAACAAAAAGGCCCAAGGCCTGTGTTATCACTCATCGCATATCATCGCACGCCCAAAGCCTGGGGAGTTGTTTGCTCCAGCGCACCCAGCGCGTGCACCAGGCCAGAATGGATCGCAACGGGATCCTCCACCAACTGCTTGGCCATGGTGCCAATTGCCGGAAACACCGCGTCAGCTTGCGCCATCTCGCTGCACTCCCTGGCCACTCGGAGCACATCGGCCCATTGCCCGGTCTTCCTCGAGATGTAGCCAGACGCAAGAGCGGGCAACGAAACTTGAAAAGAAGATGATAGAAAGATGAGACTTGATGAGAAAACAACCAAGCGATCTTGACCGAGCCACTGCAGAACTTCCAGCTTGTTCTGCCAACTGATAGCATCGGGCTGCACCTCATGCTCAAGAATCATTGCCACAAGTCCATAAGATGGGGTAATTCACAGTGTTCCAGCAGCGATACCAATTGCACACAAGACACCGATGTGGCTTCCATCTTGTCGAAAGCATACAAAGACCAAGGCCACTCTTCGGCTTTTGAGAAGGACTTCATCAGGATGCTGTGTGTTGCCACATCTTGGGGGACCAGCTGCTGCTGCTGCAGCGTTACACGCCAGTGTTCGGCTGGCAGAGCACCCAGCGCAGAAGAAGACTGTCGGCGAGACCAAAGCAAAACTTGAAAGGAAAGAGGCCACATGCTGCCAGAGCTGAACGCAGAGATCAGCATGCTCCCTGTTATGATGTCACGACGAATGGATTGGGTGCACATCTGCCGCAACAGCTGACAAGAAGCTCGCCAAGAGCCCGAGACAGCAACCAGTGCTGCATTGAAGGCGATGATGTCTGGAGTAAGACATTGTGACAACCTTCGAATCAGGTCCACCGCAAAGGGCCAAGCCCTCCAAGGACATGCACGAAGGGCAGCGGTGTAGCTAACGAGGTCAGGCAACACCTCGGCAGCAGTTGCAACAAGGCTCACAACGCTGTGGAAGGTCATGACGACCACTCCCGTCCACACCTGTTCTCTGCTCATGTCGACCAGCACGTACACCGCTGCTTCCCACTGGCCGTGCTGCGCACAAGCTTTGATGGCACTCGTGCAGCCTGATGTAGCCCCCGTTGAAGACCAGTCTCATGCTGTCAGACAGAGTCTTTCGACCTAGCATTCGTAAGTTCCTCCGAGATGCACAGCAGATCTGGGGCAATGGCCACGTCCCACCTCAAGCAGGTCTCTGCAAGAAGTGATGCCCTCTTGCGCCGCACGTGTGCAGTGCAGCATGCAGCAGAAGCGCATCTGCTGTAGGGTGTCCACAGCCATCTCCCAATGGCCGCCTGATGCTGTGATCTGTACACCATAGCACGGGAGAGCTCGTGTCGTTACATGTCACCTGCCTGCAGACTGGGCATCCATCATGAGGCCGTAGGAAACCACATCGGGCGATGTCCGGGTGGTGGGTAGCAGCGAGAAGACACACAATGCCAACTGCCATTGTCCACTCCTTTCTGAGCTCGAAACAAAGTTTTCTAAACCCTCTGACAGCTCCACTCCCGACAAGAATCGGTCACAACTCGGTCCTCTGGCAGGCTCTGGCAACGCTGTTGAAACCAACAGTGCCACATTTGGAGCTCGTTAGGAGTACTGCCAGTGCCCGCTGCCAGGAAACAGCCGCAGCAAAAGCTCCCAGGAGTTCATTGAAGCTGATCTCGTCTGGCCTCGCGTCACAAAGGAAAACAACCATGCAAGGGCGAAACCAGAACTCGCAACTCTCTTTGAAGCCGAGGCTTGCAAGCAGGAAGCTGGATTGCTGTCCAAGTCATTTGTTGCAGCAAACTTACGGCCATCTGCCAGCTGCCGTCGCGACGGCATGTTTGCAACACTGTGTTGTAATGAATGACGTTGACTTCCACCGACTGCTGCCTGGAAGCTGACTGCTCTTGTTCTCTGGGTGTCACTGCGAACCGCAAGAAGCCAAGCAGATCCAAGCAGCAAGAGGGAGTCCAGCACAGCAGCCTGAAGGTCGCAAGCTACCTGCAGAAGTCACGGAAGGTCCGCAGTGAAAACACGTCTCTGGCTCTCCGGCCTGGCCCCCTCGCTGCAAGCTCCGCAGTGCAGTGGTGCAAAGTCGCGGTCTGCGCCAGACTGCCAGGCCTTCAGCAGCTGGGATTTTTCCGGTGCTCGCCACAAAGCGCTAGCGAGCTTCGTTGCTTAGTACATGCCGCAGCGCGGACGAGCGGCTGTCAGCCACGATGGCCTCCACCTTCTGTAAGTCTCCGGATCCCAGCTCCAAGAGGCGTCGAGTTGCGGACGAAGGGCTCGCTGCCGGCCCGCGTGCTGGCCCGCACATCCCTCATCTCCCATCCCCTCTCCACCAAATCGCGTGGGCGCACAGTGCGGCACAGGATCACATGGCTCTCTCAGGAGCTCTGCCAGGGGGCCTGACTTGCAGGCCCTGCTTTCTCAGCCGAAATTATCGCGACATTGCTGGGAGGCCCACCCCACGTCTTCAGACAACTCTCGGTGATGGCTCGGACAACATTTCCCAATGACTGCGAGCTGTGATCGCAGGGAGCTGATCCGAGTCTTTATGGAAGCCAGGGGGAGCATTAAGGGAAATGTGGAAGTGCCGTGGGACAGTTCAGCCCTTCCCTTGAGTCTCCAAGGGCGGTGCTGCGCGTACAGAGGCAGCACACGCAGGGGCCTTGGCGTTCGTGGCTGGACGGGAGGTGATGCAGCAAGGGCAACAACATGCAACCTTACTTCGTGCAATCAATCCCGGGATCGCGCCCTTCTCCAAATCCAGCACCTTTGAAGACACCCCCTGCCGTTCTGGATTTGTCGAGCCTGACGAAAGTCAAGCTCGGTGCCACGTCCCAGGTCGACTGCTCGAGCTCGAGAGCGTCTATGCTTTCTAGCGCCTGGTCATCCTCACCTTCCGCTGGTTCCGCAGCTCCCGGTCCTTGGCATCCTCAGCCTGGGCCTAGTCCAGCGGTTATCGGGTTTAGGGTTTAGGGTTTTGGGTTTGGGGTTTGGGGTTTAGGGTTTAGGGGGGAAGGAGCTTTTGAAAGACCACAGTCCCCTCTCGCCTCCGCCTCAAGAAGCACCGTGTCTTCCTCCCCGAGGGCGAAGGAGAGCTCCGGCATCTGCAGGCAGCGCAGCCGGCAGAAAATGCCGAAGGCCCCAAGCCGACTTCAAGGCCTCCTCTTGAGCTGCCTCCGTCTCCTCACCCTGGCCCTGGCCTCCTTGCCCCTCCTCCAAGCGCACACTCGCATACGCCCACACAGCAAGCACAGGCTCCTTGGCCCTAAGGGCCTCCTTCGAATTCGTGTCTCCGACAGCCTGGCAAGTCGTTTTCTGAAAGCAGCTCCCGCAGATTCCGGTGCACCTCCTTGATCTTCTTGGCCTTTCTCCGGCGCTTCTTCGCTGTCGGCCCGCCTGAAGCTCCGAACCGCTGAAGATTGAAAAACAATGTGGGGATAGCTGCCGGGCCTCCTTTTTCACCGTCTCTCGCGCTGTCGCTCGGAAGGGACCTGGAGACTGGCAAGAAGCTGTGTCTCCTCCCGGAAAAAGGGGGCCTCCGACTGGGCGCCCCAGCTCCGGTGCCGTTCGCTTTTTGCCTTTGGCCTTCTTTGGGCTCCTCCTGCGTGCACCCTTTATTCCCACAACGCCACCAGCAACAGCCAGGACATCCCGACCTGGCCAGCTTCGCATCGGCCTGTTTCAGGAAGGGAGGAGCCTAGGCCTAGGCCTAGCCCATGAGGTGTTCCACTATGCCCGGTGCCTTGCTGCCGTCGCCCTGCCTGAACAAGCGATCCCTCCGCCCCACCGATGACCTTCTGAGATCCCCCTTGTTGAGGTCCCGTCTACAAACAGTTCGTTCAGTTTCTTCCTTTCTGAGAACGCACTAGAGACGGATCCAAGTACAGCTCACTTCATGTTGACCAGGAGAGTACGAGGACCATAATTCCAGATCGGCCATATCTCTCAACCAGCAACAGCCAGGTTCAGCACTTGGACACGTTCAGCTGTTTGTGTTGAGGCGATCACACACAGCTCTCCCTACCAGCAAACTCGAGAAAGTCTGCGGGCACTGAGACCCTTACCCTACTTTTTGCTGCCACCTTGAAGACCTGAACCTCTAATAGCTCCCCCTTGCCCGCTGTCTGCATCGAGCGGCATCGAATCCCGCGGATGCTCCGCCGGTTCTGCCGGTGGCTTTTGCAGGTCTCCAGGCTCAGCGTCGCTTTCCGCATTGCCCTCGTCATCGGAGGCCTCCAACTCGAGGGGTCGCTCCTGAGAAAGCCGGAAGAAAGCAAAACCGAAAACTCCACATATATAATAATATATAATAATATATAGTTATATATAGTAATATATAAATTATACAATATAAACCCCCACTGCTGCCCGCCTTCTCCTCGGCCTCCTCCTCCGCCTCCCCCTCGGCTTCGTCCTGGGGGCTGTTGCAGTGCTCTTCCGGCAGCCCCTACATACGTAAACAGGTTCGAGCAGTGGACTTAGGGCCACACCCCATGTTTCGAAGCCCTCATCTGCCACTGCTGCAGCATCCTCACATCCACTTTGATGACTGCACCATCCCTAAACCTAAACCCTAAACATCCCTAAACCCCAAAAATGGAGTTGTTCCTTTTTTGCAACGGCTGTCGTGAGCAAGGATCCTGCAGAGTCGGTGCACCTCCTGCCGGCCAGTTACGAAAACCTCGGCCACCGACCAAGAGCTGCTACCAGAAAACTCTGAAGCGTTGTCTTTCAAGGCACAGGCGAGGATGCTCCCTGGTGGCAGATCCTTGTGAATCTGGAGCACCTCGGCTCAATGCAAACCGCGAAGAAATGCAGCCGGTCTCTGCTGTGCTTTCCGTACTTTCCCTGCTCCACCCCGGGCGCACTACCGACCTGTACGCGGCCTGCACGAGAAACTGCACAGCTCCAGAACAGTGCGGTCTGCTCGAATCTTCAGGTACCCAAGCCATGCAGCACATTCCCAGCTTCGGCACTGTGTCACCGGCATCCCCTTGGGGGAGATCTTGGCATGGTATTGCCCCTAGAGGCAGTTCGTCGAGATTCGGGAGGCTCTTTGCGCAAGCAATTGCCTCGTGCAAAATGTGTTGGCCAAGCTGTAGGGATGCTCCTCAGATTCCACAAGCCCTGCTCTAAACCCCAAATCCTGCAGCACGGGCTCAGGAAACGGTCGCGAAACTGCAGTTTCGACCATGTTGTGCCAGCTTGTTTGGACTCTGGGGAGCAGTGCATCTACAACTGAGCGGGAAAATATGAGATGCAGGCTTGAGTCTGCACCAAGTTACATTCACCTCGAACCAGCCATGTGTAGTCCTACGCCTGCGAGGACGGAGGTGTCAAATGCTTCAAAGCCCTCAAGATGCATACTCACAGCGCTGCAAACCGGGCTACCGGTTGCTAAGGTGCGTCCAGAAACATAGTCAGGCTCGCCGCACCAAAAAAAAGGTAGTCAAAGCGATCCGAGGCTTGGTCGGATACTTGCCAAGTCTTGTCTCGATCGCGGTTCCGTGCTTGGCAGCCAACAGCCAATTGAAGGTGAAACTCCAGCGCATTCCCAGCTTTGGCACTGTTTCACCGGCATCCCCTTGGGGGAGATCTTGGCATGGTATTGCCCCTAGAGGCAGTTAGTGGAGATTCGGGAGGCTCTTTGCGCAAGCAATTGCCTCGTGCAAAATGTGTTGGCCAAGCTGTAGGGATGCTCCTCAGATTCCACAAGCCCTGCTCTAAACCCCAAATCCTGCAGCACGGGCTCAGGAAACGGTCGCGAAACTGCAGTTTCGACCATGTTATGCCAGCTTGTTTGGACTCTGGGGAGCAGTGCATCTACAACTGAGCGGGAAAATATGAGATGCAGGCTTGAGTCTGCACCAAGTTACATTCACCTCGAACCAGCCATGTGTAGCCCTACGCCTGCGAGGACGGAGGTGTCAAATGCTTCAAAGCCCTCAAGATGCATACTCACAGCGCTGCAAACCGGGCTACCGGTTGCTAAGGTGCGTCCAGAGACATAGTCAGGCTCGCCACACCAAAAAAAAGGTAGTCAAAGCGATCCGAGGCTTGGTCGGATACTTGCCAAGTCTTGTCTCGATCGCGGTTCCGTGCTTGGCAGCCAACAGCCAATTGAACGTGAAACTCCAGCGCATTCCCAGCTTTGGCACTGTTTCACCGGCATCCCCTTGGGGGAGATCTTGGCATGGTATTGCCCCTAGAGGCAGTTCGTCGAGATTAAGGAGGCTCTTTGCGCAAGCAATTGCCTCGTGCAAAATGTGTTGGCCAAGCTGTAGGGATGCTCCTCAGATTTCACAAGCCCTGCCCTAAACCCCAAATCCTGCAGCACGGGCTCAGGAAACGGTCGCGAAACTGCAGTTTCGACCATGTTATGCCAGCTTGTTTTGGACTCTGGGGAGCAGCGCATCTACAACTGAGCGGGAAAATATGAGATGCAGGCCTGAGTCTACACCAAGTTACTTTTAACCTCGAACCAGCCATGTGTAGTTCTACGCCTGCCAGGGCGGTGGCGTCAAATGCTTCAAAGCCCTCAAGATGCATACTCACAGCCCCGCTCTGGCTCGAAAAGCTGCAAACCGGGCTACCGGTTGCTAAGGTGCGTCCAGAAACATAGTCAGGCTCGCCGCACCAAAAAAAAGGTAGTCAAAGCGATCCGAGGCTTGGTCGGGTACTTGCCAAGTCTTGTCTCGATCGCGGTTCCGTGCTGGGCTTGGCAGCCAACAGCCAATTGAAAGTCAAACTCCATCAAGTACCCGGGCCATGCCGCGCATTCCCAGCTTCGGCACTGTTTCACCGGCATCCCCTTGGGGGAGATCTTGGCATGGTATTGCCCCTAGAGGCAGTTCGTCGGGATTCGGGAGGCTCTTTGCGCAAGCAATTGCCTCGTGCAAAATGTGTTGGCCAAGCTCCTCAGATTCCACAAGCTTCGGCACTGTTTCACCGGCATCCCCTTGGGGGAGATCTTGCATGGTGCTGTATTGCCCCTAGAGGCAACTTGTTGACAGGCTGCCTGTGCAAACAAGTACTGGCTGATTAACGTGTTGGCCAAGACAGCCTCCTGCCAAGTTGTCTTGCAGGGAACAATTGTTTCGAGCTAGGGCCGCCAGCAATCTTCTCATCTTCATCCCCACAAGCCTTAGACTCCTGACGTACATCGAATGCAAAATCCCACTGGATCACGTACTAGAGTCGGCCAACAATCGCCGGCCAGCACCTGACTCCTTTTCTCTTCTTGAGAGCTGAGTCATGTCTTGAATTACTGTGATACCGTGCAGACCTGGCGTGTACATACGAGAGAAAGGATTTCGAGAGGGTGTTCCTTCACATCACATCTCAAGCGTCCCGCTGCTCAAGTGTTCATCATGCTCCTTTGCAGGGCTGTCGAAGAAGGCAGTCCCGGCGTCCAATAGCGCGTCGAAGTCCAGTGTGTCGTCCTCGGAAGTCGACCCCTCCATCACAGACACCTCAGCTTTGGAATCGTCGGTTTGCGTTGAACTCTTCAACAGGTCCTCGGTCGATCTTACGAGCTCATTCGCGTCGTCCTTCCGGAGCAGCGCAAACATCTGAACCGCTTTGGCGAAGTCATCCGCGAGGACTTGCCAGCGCATCTCCCCCTCTTTGACCAGGTTCTGCGTCTCTCGCTTCCAGACATCCCGAAGCACAGAGTGCGCGACGTTGTCGGGTAATGCCCGACATGCAACGGCCAAAGCACAAAGCACGTTGACGTTGGGAATGTTGCCTCCCTGAAAGTGGGAAAGCCAAAGCTCTATGAAGTCATGGTAGGCCTTGCTGACAGCTTCCTTCTGGTAAGCCACAGAAGATCTGAGGAGGAATGTTGAAATCTTCGCCAGCCAGCTGCGCTGCAGCCGATGCCGATAGCCTTGAATCTGGCTCTTGCGAGTGATAATGGCGGGGCCGTCGGCATTCAGGGACCAGAAGAACGCCAGGTGGGAGTCTGGCTGCAAAAACGGAAGCAAGAAAGCCGCAGTGCTCTGCCTGAGCTTGTCGAGGACACCGTCGGAATTGATAAATCGTCTGGACACATGAGACAAGTCGGAGATCACGATCTTCTGCTCCTGTTCCAAGCTGGCTGGTTGAGCCTCCATCTGTCCGGCGACGTTGCGCAGGGCCTGCGCGATAATGTGCAGGGCCGAATAGACCACAGCGGAGACCAGCATTGATAGGAGGGATACTGACCAAACCCAAACAGTGCCACCCGAAGGAAAGAATATGAGGAGCATGGCGACGATCGTAAACAGCAGAAAGCGTGCGCCCAGGAGTAGAAACTCCAGGAAGTCCAGGACCTCCGCTTGTGAGTTGTCATAAGGCTTCACCCAAGATGTGACCGCGAGCTGCATGCCGGAAATCAGGGCGAACAGCAGGAGCTTTGCCTTGTCATCGTTTGCGATGGACGTTGATGCAATCAGAAGCATAAGGCCTATGTCGAGCCGTTTGACCACCAGTTCCCAATACCAATAGTTTGGCTCCAAGCCTTGAATGAAGTAGCCGTACCGCCGACGGTTGCGAGGCTCCTGTCGATCGTGCAGGGACCAAATTCGGAGGAACAGAAGCAGCGGGGTCCCAAGGCACCATAGCACCAGTCCCACCATGGCTATGGTGGCTTTTGGCAAGTGCTCATCCTGCCAGCACACCACGTCGGGGTGCGAGCGCAGGCGCTGCACCGTGACAGGTGCGTCACCAAAGTCTTCGCGCACGGACATGCAGCGGATCATCTGTAAGAACTTGGACATCAGCTCTGGCCACAGCGCAAGCTGCGTGAGCCAGATCACCGGCACGCTTTGATTCAGCAGCCCCCAAAGCCCGGGTCGGGCCGTGAAGAGTCCGAGGTCGAGCCTTTCAGTCTCCCCGCAAACCTCTGGAAGGAGCTCGTCTGCCTTCAGCCGCAGGCTGTGGCCGGCACGGCACAGGAGCGAGTCCTCGCCTTCTGCCTTCTGCAAGGACTCTTCGAGCTCTAGTGCAGATCTTGCCGTGTTCGCCACCTCTACGAGGTAGTCGGCCTTGGGCAAACTCCTGCGATCGGCTTCGCCTTCAAGCACGCCTCGATGCTTCCATGCCACAATGCCCAGGACCAAGCGCTGGAGGGTCCGTTCGGAAGCAATGCCATGAGATGCGATTGCCAACAAATCCTCATCTCGGATGTTGCCGGCCAGGATGTCGTCCGGCACGGCTGCATTCCAGGTATCCTTGCCCAAGGTTCCTTGCGCGGCGAGCTCCGTCAGCACCCGGCCTGCGGCCTTTCCTGTCATGTTGCCGATCTCGTGCTGCTGGTCTGCCCCATCCTCCGCTGGAAGCTCGGCCACGGCTGCCATCAAACAGCTTCTGACAAAACGACAGAGCTTGGCCCGCTTGGCCTCCCTTTGGTCCACTCCGTTGAAATGGATGCCGAGGACATTTCCCAGGGGAACCACGGCATAGACAACGAAGGAGCAAAGGAGAACAGTGCCGGCAAGGGTGAGGATCGGAAGGAGCAGGTAGTACAAGGAGGGCAGCATGAGCTTCGCCGCAGGATTGTCTGGAGCCAAGTCCTCTGCCTGGCACTCTGCGGCGAAGTTGACATTGGTCCGTGGCATGATGGAGAGCACCGAGAAGAGGGATCCCATAACATCGAAAACAGCCTGAGGCCACTCGAACTTTAAGAGCACCGGGCAGTCTTGGTCGCAGCCTGCTTCTGCCTCGGCCTGCTTCTGGGACCAAGAGAAGGGCTGTAAACGATCCAAATTGAATGTGAGCAGAATCGAGCAAGAAGCGACCCAAGCCTGTACAATACGGATCATGCATGTATGGAGCTTCAACGACGTGCCGGCCCCCCTGGCAGCAAGGACAGCAATCATAAAGTTCACCACGGTGATGCGCAAGAGGTCAACGATGACTGCCCAGCTGAACAGCACAGCGCCCTGCCCGGCTGGGCAAGGCTGGCAGTGCGTCAGCAAGCTGGCCCTGGCCCAGCCTATGGGGCACTCTCCGCACATGATGCCAGCGGATCCCTCAGCACACCGGTTGCCGAAACGCCGGCTGCAGCCCTCAACGCCCGGGCTACGCTGGCACTCTGGAGAGCCGCCACTGCAGACGCTACGTCCATCTGGCAGCAGAACCAGGCACTGCACAGCCAGAGTTGGCCCTGACTGGAACCAGCCCTCAAGGGCACGCGGCTGCGAATGGTTCCCATGGTTCCCTGAGAAACCTCCAGGGCAGACCAGGCCGCTAAAGAGAGCGCAGCCGACGCAGCGATCGAGCTGGCCACTCCTGTCCAACTCTGCCACATGATCGGGTACACAGTAGCAATCGGCCAACTGAGTGGACCCGGGACGGCTGTCGGCGTTCGCGGGACAGGTCAGCCAGCACACTTCGTTGCCCAAGTTGGGCTTGTACCTTCCGGATGGACACGGTGTACAAAGTGCTCCAAGCTCCGAAGCATCAGCGCCAGCCTGATATCCGGCCATGCAGAAGCATTCTTCAGCAGTGCGCGCCCCTCCAGCAATCGTCGTGGAATTCTCCGGGCAGCGCATTGCGGCGCCCGTTCCATTGCAGAAGAATCCAACTTCGCAGCTCAGGCATTCGCCGTTCTGCTCGTAGAGGCCAGCAGCGCAGGTGCACTGCTGCACTGAGACGGCGCCAGGTGCTACGGTTGACTTGGAGGTTTCGCACTTTTCGCACTCAGTGTCTGCCAGTGTGGATTTGTATTCTCCTTGTGGACAAATCCTACAACTGCCAAGCTGGCTATCAAGGCCGTAGCCTGGCAGGCAACTCCGGGCATGTGATGGTCACTGATGACACCACGGGTCCGGACGTGGACTCAATAATGAAACCGGAAAGTTCGACATCTTGCCGTAGAGCACTGCTCATGTCACTAACAAGAATGCTGATGTCCGTCTCCTGGGCCGATCGATTAGCCTCGGTCGCCGAAGGATATTTCAACAGAACGACGACTGAAGGGGTTTCGGACAGCCTGCGCCCAGCTTCGTCCGCCCAAGGCAGAATGATCTGCACGGCACTCAGGTCCATTCGGGCCGAGTCAGCAATACTCCGGCGCAGAGTTGCAATAAGTTGGCGTCTGAGGTCTGGGTCGACCCAGTCTGTGCCAAGGGACACATTGAAGGTCATCGTAGGAACATCAAGAAGATTACTGCTGCTGTACACTTCGGACTCGGGGGCAGAGCGGTTGTCAGAGCCCTCATCTACCGATGCGGCAATGCAGGAATCCCTCGAGGTTGAGCCAGTAGTATGGGTCGTGAAGTTCTCCGGGCACGCATTGCAGGCGCGTGCGTTGCTCACGGCTGCCTTGTAGTAGCTTTTACTACACGTGCTGCAGCGTCCCGAATCAAGGAAGCAGCCAGCTGCGCACAGACAGTCAGAACTGGCGGTAGCTCGTCGCAGTTGCGTTGTCTCGTGCTCAGGGCATGGGAACCGCGTTGCCGACTCCCGGCTGCCGCCAGGGCAGTAGAAGCCACGGCCACAAGAAACACAGCGCGACTTCATGAAGAAATAGCCAGGCGGGCACTCGATTCGCAACTGCCCGGATGTTGCACGGAAGGATGCAGTGGACGTGCAAAAGCTAGCCCGAGGGCACCAGCACAGATCGTACGTTCCTGGGGTCGTCGTTTTCGGAAGATCCCCCATGACCGCTAGAACCGTGCTACCCTCTGCTTCCAGGCGCAAGGGTTGTTGCAAGAAGGGGAAGCCAGGAATGCCGGCGGTGCTGACATTATTGCATCCCGCTTGCGTCACGATCAGGGCGTCCATGGGGTGCAGGTCGATGCCCGAAATCTCCAGCGTGCACACCTCTCTGACACGGCAGGTGGTGGTCTGTTGGAACGGTCCTGCTGCTGTCATGAGCCCCAATGGAGCTCGAAACGCTCCAGGGCCATCGCATGCGTGAGCATTCGCCCGGCAAAAGCAAAGTCGGAAGATCCCAGCGGGCGACAGTAGAGGCTTGGAAGGTCCCAAGAATTCGAAGGCCGTCCGATCCTGGTTGTACTCTGCAACGCCTCCTCCGGGGAAGCCTTGCACCGCAGAGCCAGTTCCACAGGCAGATAGGACCATCACCCGGTCCCCATGTTTGGCACTCACAGATTGGATGCTGCCAAGGGCACATGGCTGGCCAACAGAGCAGCTGATCTCTTGGTTCGCGTTCGGGCCCTCCACCCGCAGTTTGCCGGCTGGGACCAGGGCAGACTCTGGGCTGCAGGCCCAGGGTCCGGCACACCAGCAGAGGTCGTAGCCCCCTTCGCTGGCGTCGAGGAGCAGGCCATAGTTCAGACCGAGCTTGGCGTCTGATAAACCGAACTTCAACGAGAAAACGGAGGAGAAGTTCTCGAGTGCAGCAGAGCCGTTGACATTTGAAGGTGAGATCGGCAGTGGGGAGCCACCACAGCCGCTTGCACGGACCATAACACGATCCAGCGCAGACAAACCAACACCATGGAAGGGCCGAAGGTCCGTACAGTCCTGGCCACGCACGCACTGGAAGAGATGATTGGTGAAGGGTCCGACAACTTCAAGAAGGCCTGCAGAAATGTGGAAGCTTTCTAGGCCTGCGCAAGCAAGACCTTCCATGTTGGAGCACCAGCAGAGGCGGTAAGAACCACCTTCCGGAAGGAGGTCTGCAGGGACGTTACCCCAGGTGTACCAGTTGTGGCCGGCTTGGAGGTGGCATCATTGCTGATGCCAGGCACAGGCAACTTCGCACCGGTGCAGTCTGTGGACGTCGTGAGGGCCAAGCGGTGGTCTTCGCGGAGCTGGAGGCCTGTGAGTTGCACAGAGCAGACTTGGCCCGAAGTGCAGGTTACATGCTGGTCGCCATGTGGCCGCACACAGAAGTCTTCCAGCCCGGAGCCGGGATCCTCAGTCGTGGAACCGCTGGGACAGGATTGACAAGTGGCTTCAGAGTCAGCGCCCATGCTGCTGCTCCACGTGCCAACAGGGCAAGACAAGCAAGCCCCATTACCCGCCAAAGGCTTGAAGGTGCCACGGCCGCAGGCAACACAAGAGATGTTGTCAGCACCCTCAGTAGGCAGAAAGCCGGCAGCACAAACACACTCTGCCTCTGATGTGGCCGTGTCCGACAACGTGGTTGTAGACGCCTGGCAAGGCAGTCGGTTGTCCCCGCCGATGCAGTAGAAGCCTTGGCCACATGGCTCGCAGCTTCCTGCGATGCTGACGAGGCCAGCCGGGCATGTACAGGCAGCAATTGAGGTTGCACCCTCTCGAAGCGTGGTGAGGCTGACATCCCCACTTGGACAGATAGCACATGAGGAATCACCCACTGTGTCTTTGTAGGTGCCCAGCGGGCACTTCACGCAGCCAAGGCCTTCGGACTGTGGTCGCAGGCCACGTGCGCATCTGCAATCTGATGGGCTTCGAAGCATGACATCAGGCAGGTCCAAGCCGGGGGGACACCGAAACTCTACCACATCCACCGCAGTCCTATTTGTCGCCTGGGTGGAGGACAGCTCCCCCGGCAAGGAGTTGAAGGCCCAGGCATGGAACCGCGACTCCTGCAGCTTGGCATGCGCCTCTCGTGCCAGCTCCTCCTCTGAGCTTGTGAAGATGTACTGGATGCCGCCTGCATCAAGGGTTAGACTCAGGAGTGCCCTCCCATAAACGTCTACTCCCAGGTATGTGTTCAAGAGCGGGAGCAAGTCTTCTGAGCTGTCGGGATCTGCCAGCAAGGAGCCGCTGAAGACGAAGAGGTTAAATGGAGCAGACGGCAAGGAATCTGCAAAGGGTAAGGAGGCTAGGGCGGTGCAGTTGAACTCCGGCGATGGGCCAATGTCCACAAAGCCATCTGTACAATGGCAGTCAGTTACATCCACAGCACCGGGCAAGGACGTGGTCAGTGCCGGGCACTGGCCTTCGCAGGACTGGTTGGCGCCAACGTTGCTTTTGAACCGGCCTTCAGCACAAGCAAGGCAAACACTTCGGCGTGGATCCCAGAAGAAGCCTCTTCGACACTGGCATGCATCGGCAGCCGAAGAGGCTGGGATGGAGGTGCTGCCCAGTGCACAGGGCCGGAGCTCGGCAGATTGGCCGCCGGGACAATAGAAACCCGGAGGGCACTCCTGGCACTGAGCCTCGCCCTTGCCCTGGGTCTGATATGTTCCCGGAGGGCAAACTAAATTCAGCTGCACGGCCGCAGCGCGAAATTGCGGCAGGAAGCTGCACGGAAAGTCTGCAGAGCACCAACACCTAAGTGCATAAGCCCTGACCGAGAAGGACAATTGCGATTCCTCCGTGCTACCAGAAGCTGGGCCTAACACACCGAAAACCAAAACTTTTTGGAAACAAAACCGAGACACAGCTCCACTCTTTCCGGTACAGCGCCTTCCAGTGCAAGGACTCCCAAGTTGAAGCTAATCATGCCGAAAGCAAGTGCACCGGTGACGGGCCGAGGGTTGGGAAACCTGCAAGTGGTTCGATAGCTACGAAATAAGACGACAAGCCATAATGACATTAGCGTCAAATTTTGCGGAATCAAACCGAGGAACATGGAAGCCTCGTCGAAAGTACCACACTGGCGCATAGGTAGTAGCTGATCCCCGGCCGACAGCTCGGCACCCTGCAAGCCGGAAATGCTGCACTGCGAGCCAAGCTCACCTGATTTTGGGGGAAACCACGACTGAGGATGAAGACGTCTGACTGCGGCTCAAACGAAGGAAACATGCGTAAGAATGCATAAGGCGTCTGGTAAACAAAACTTGAAAAACCTCTTCGAAATCCTCAGCAGCTGACATGTGAAGGGTTGGTTCAGGACAGGGCCAGTCCCACGGAAGAGCCCCACATTCACGCGGAAGTCGGTCGCCACATCACAGAGCATGCCGCTGCTAGGGAGTGGTCGGCACCAACACATCACGTAAATGCCAGGTAACTCTGCGAAAAGGTACGAGCCGGCTGCCTGAGCTTGCTCGAACCCCGTCTCAGGGTGATTCAGACACTGTCTTGGTCTTACAAAGCTTTGCGCTTGAAAATCACTCGCTGAAGCCAACGCCCCAATGTCTGTAAGAGAAGCCTAGAGGCATCTTGAAAAGCAAAGCCGGCTCCGTCCTGCGTTTGGGCGAAAGGCCCGGGAAGCCCGGCAAGGACGGACCCGGTGCTGCACTTCGACATGACCGCTAGACGGTCGCCAAGGGCGAGGCCCACGCCTCAACTTCCAGCTCCGGGGATTCCGTTGTGCCGGGTTCCGGTGGATTCGTTGCAAGGATTACACATGGGTAGCCGCATCGCACTTTGCCTTGCACTCTTGTTACACTAGGTGTACCGTCTGTGCAAATCGAGAATAGCATTGGAAACCAGGCTGCTTTCAACGCTTCCAGGAATCACCATGCCACTATGATGCAATGCAGTGCACAGGCTCAGGGACCTGCATCTAGAATAACCCGCAGCTCGCACGAGGTCTGCTTGAAACAAACGGATTTGGTTTCTTGGCGGCTTCGTTCAGCAACCCGTACGTGCCTCAAGGGATCGGCGGATAAATCGGGAAGCAGAACAACTGAATCGGCAACCAGAACGCCAGTATCGGAAACCAGCCATGACTCAGAAACCAGCCAAAATTCGGAAACCATGACGGCTGATTCGGAAACCAGACCGACTGATTCGGAAACAACACCGTGATTTAGAAACCAATTCGGGTGATTAGGCAGCCAGACCGGCTGGTTCGGAAACGAGACGCGGCATTCGGCAACCAGAAACCATGATTACCGAACGGTTGCTTCCTGACGGCCCCAAGAGCATTGGGCGCCTATCAGGAGGTTGTACTTTGGCCTATACGAAGTCGCAGACCAATGCAGAGAAACAGACGCAGCCATGCAATACCGTTTTTCCGTGTCCACTACGCACGGTGGTTTCCGATGCACAGTTTCCGGTTACCCGTTAATGGGTTCGCGGTGGTTTCCGATGCGCACTTTCTGATGCAAGGCCCATTATCTGTTTTTGCAATGGATCTGCCTCAATGAGAGCCACTGAGACGCTGGCTATCCACCTACATGAAAGCTGTTGCTTGAGAAACCATCCCGCACATGCGCCTAGATGCCCGGTGGAGGCATTCACATCGGTCGCATGACGACATCCCGATTGGTATGCGGTACTTATGTTGCAAACCGAGGTTTGCCTGTGATGGGAGGCTCGGTTTGCTTCACTGACAGAATCAACATCTCAAAGCACTGGCGATCAACCCGGGTGCACCAGAAGCGGAGTCAAGATCATAAAATTCCTGTCGTAATGAGGCCTAATGGCCTAATGCAGAGGCTCGATCTGGCACGCATGCTGTTCAAGGATTCAGCGCAGAAACAAAACCCTACACGCTCCAACTCCCGCAGAGGCACCACCCAGCTGTACGTCACAGCGTTGGCCTTGAAAGCATTGAGTATCCTGGCCAGTCCGTGGTCCGAGCACGAAGATTCGCCCAGCTGGGACAATGTGGTCGCCACAATCCGTGCCTGGGCAGAGCTGTATTGCACATAGCATCTCGAAGACAATGGTTACTAGACCAAAGCGGTTTTCCTTGAATCGACCAAGCAACTTCCGGGCATCCTGGCACCGCTGCCTCACAGGGAATGTTGAATGGAAGGCTCCGTGCGGCCAAAACATGCGGACAGTGAAGGACATGTGCTTGTGCAGAGCGGCCGGACCATAATGCTGGGGTTACACCCCTAGTTTCAAGAAACCCGCCTTACACGACCAAAGCAATTGTTGAATCTAATTACTTGAACTCAGGTCGCAAAGAGGGCTCTTTCAGGGGTGGAGGAGAGTTTTGGACAGGGCATCTTTGTGATTCAGCCGGGGTTGGATGGGCACCATCCAATGCCCATAGCAACATAGCAAACCCCCACAACGAGATGCATCCGAACTGACTTTTCACTTACACCTTGTGTCTAACGTATAATCAACGTAGAGCATCTGAAGTCCTGAATGTTCCGTACCTTCCTCCACGAGATCAGATTCCCGAAGCCGGCCCTGCGGCCTCCACACCAGCACAAGGAGTAGCCCCTGGCGTCTGCATCAACAGAGAAGCGATAGTCGACATTCAGGCTGGAGATACCGAAATCCAGTTGGAAGGTTTCGACAGCTTCACTGACGTTCATCAGCATGCCCGTCCCCAAAAGGTTTGTGGCAGACAGCTGCAAAGGCGGCGATGTGCAGGTGCTTCTAATGGCCACGGAGTCGGAGGTGGACAAAAGCAAGCCCTGGAATGGCTGCAAGCCGATGCAGTCGTGACCGCGGACGCACTCGAAGAGATGAGCAGCAAAGGGACCGGCAACCCGAAGGAAACCCGCGGAAACCTGAAAAGTCTCCAGGCCGGCACAGGCAAGGCCCACCATGTTGGAGCACCAGCAGAGGCGGTAGATACCGCCCTCCGGTGCGAAGCCGGCGGACGCACCATCCCAGGTGTACAAGCTCCCACTTTCCTCTGCGAGTCCGGATATGCCGTTGCCCACAACGCTGCCAACCTAGAGCCGGCGGAGACTTGGGCTGAGAGACATTGTGTGGGGATGATATCATGCCTATAGGCCTATACAGCAGCATCTGAAATTCAAGTCAGCCCTAGCAGCTGGAAACTTGGATCCGTCACAATCTTCGGACGAGGTGAGGGCAACTCGATGCCCGTTCTGAAGATGAAAGCCACTGAGCTGTATTGCCTAGGGCGGGTGCGACATTCCGGACAAGCGGAATTTCGCGGCGGACTTCTCTACTCTATTGCCCGAAAGCCAAAATCAAAAACTTTAAGCTTCTGATTGGGATCCGAGTTGCACAGCTGGTGCCTGAGGTGCACGTTACTTGTTGGTCGTCATGCGGCCGAACACAGAAGTCTTCCAGCTCTGAACCAGCAGCCGCAGTGGTCGAGCCGCTAGGACAGGCCTGACAGGTTGCATCTGAGTCGGCGCCGGTCGCGTTGCTCCATGTGCCGGCGGGGCATGGCTCACAGGGCATGTTTCCGATGCTTCTCTTGTAGTGGCCAGGCGGACAGTTTGCACAGGCCTCCCCGAAAAGAAAGGTGCCCGACACGCATAAACATTGTGTTCGATCACTGGCCACATCCAGCAGCGTTGTCTGGGACTCAGCACAACGCTCCCGGTGCGTCCCTCCATTGCAGAAGTAGCCAGTTCCACAAGGACCACAAAGGGATGGGTTGTTGGACATGTTTACGAAGCCGAGCATGCAGCTGCAAGACGTTGCTGCCACGGCTCCCGGCTCCAGAGTTGTGGAACCATAAGGGCAGGTCCAACAGATGGACGCTTCCATATACAATCCTGGCAGGCAATGGCAATGTTGAAGATCACCTCGGACACCGCAAGCACACAACCGGCAAGCTATTATTGATTCACAGGCCAGCACGGGCAAGCATTGATGCTTGAATAATTTTGGAGCACACTGTAGGAAACGAAACTCCTGAGGCAAGCAGAACATTACTATAGCTGGTTCGTCTCAGGAAAACCTTACCTATAATACAAGAAAGATCTCGGGCGCTGCATGGCAGCTCATCAAGACATTCCAACGATTCCAAAGCATCACTAACAAACTCCAGTCTGGCAGTACAGACTGCGGGGATCTGGCATGGAATCTTGCACAGGGTGCCACCAGAAACACGCCATACAACCGCATAGCTGAGACACGCCCCAGTCCACATCTCATCGAATGCATGTTGCTTTTTTGGGGCTTTCACTTTTGCGGGTCTGTTGAACCACTTGGCATTCAGCAGTCTGAGGCCCAGGCGGGCGCCCGCTTGCGATGTGCTCGAGGTAGGGCAGCTTCGTACATCCTGGCCGTTGGGGCAGAAGGAGTCTCCTGGGCAGACTTCGCAGCGACCTCCGATTTCCTGCGTTGTTGTTGGGACTCTTGCAAGGTTCAGTGTGCTGATCACAATTCAAAAGAAACGCCTTAAGCCTAAAGCGTAACCAAGCTTCGTAATGCCCTGGCGGGCAAAGCACCCGAAGTCGGAAGGCGGAGACGTAGAAGTTTTCTTCGGAAGCACATGGCGACCCTTGCGGGCACCAGCACAAATGGAGAAACTCAGGTGAGCCCCCGGCAGAAATGTCCCCCAAATCCAGCACAAAGGCATCCACGGAGCGATCAATGCGAATGGGCGGATACTCGTGGCCGAATGTGGCTGAAGTGTTTGGTGCCCCACACTCCCGTAAAGCGATCACGCTGTCGTTCACGGACAGCCCCACGCCACGCCATGGGGAAAGAACACAAGGCTCACCCATGAAGCAACCGGCAGTCTGGTTGGCATAGGGTCCTTCACTGATGAAGAAGCCCAAAGTCGAGGTGAAGTCACTGGGCCCGTCGCACTGCGAGACATTTGGCAAACAGAAGCACAGGCGATAAAGTGCCGGTTCCAGAAAGAACTCCCCTTCTGGGCTTGTAGTGAAATCGAAGCTCTGTCCATCCGCACTGCTAGCCATGGCCAAAGCCTCGGAATCTGAGCAAGCCTGTTTCACGCAGAGCTTGGCATGAAGTGGCGCATCCATGACCATTGTGCAGGGTTGCCCAACGGAGCACCTGGCTACGAGAACCTCCGGAGCCGGAGCTGCTGTGAAACGCCAGAGGTCCTCCAAATAGGCGGTGTCGAAGCCGCCGAAGCTGAGCAAAGCGAGCGAGGCTTCGTCCCAGATGACTGCAGGCTCCGTCCGCGGAGAAGGCCCTGCCGCCAGCACTGACCATGCATTGACGAGCAAGTCGAACTCGTATGCCTGGTGGTCATAGCCCAAGGTACCTGTGGAATTCTGAACTCCAGCGAAGACAAGCATGGACATCGTGCCTTCCCGCCATGCTGCGGCATGTCCGGCCCTGGGCGCGGGGATCCCCGCAGCTGGAAGGAGCTCTGTCCAAGTGTTGGCCCAGGAGCTGTACATCTGCAGGTCTTGCAAGTAAGAACTGCCACTCCAGCCGGCGAAGATCAGCATCGACCGTGTTCTCCGGTCCCAGACGGCTGAGTGTCGGCTCCTGGGCGTTGGGCCACTGGCAGCCGAAGACCAGCCATGAACCAGGCTGCATAAAGTGAGGTCTGCCAGTGCTGCGCCGTTGTCACCTCCGTGGATCATCATGGCACCGGCATCTGAATCAAACACCGCCGAGTGATCGCTCCGTGCAGCTGGGGCCCCAGGAAGGTTGAGTCGCTGCCACTTGCCAGTCAGGGCATCATACTGCCAGAGCTCGGCATTATAGGCACCCAGGTGACTTCCTCCAAAGACGAGCATCGAACGGGAAGCGCAATCCCAAACTGCAGAGTGGCCGAACCTCGTTGAAGGACCGCCCGAAGACAGATAGGTCCATGTGCGGGACGGCCAATGATACTCCCAAAGGTCGTCAAAGTACTGGAAGCTGTTTCCTGCCTGGCCCCCGAACAGCAGGGCAGACTGTCTCTCCGCGTCCCAAACCACGGAATGCCCCTGCCGCCCACCGGGCCCATCAGACGTGAACTCGCTCCAGGCGTCGAGGTTGCAGCGGACACCCGCGGCTTCTTGTGGGGCACAGTCGTGGACCTGCCAGCCCTGGAAGTCGCAGCTGGCCAGGCTGAGCTCGGTGCCCCGGCAGCTCAGGCCATCCACGAGCACAAGGCCGGCGTCCAAGGGTGTAAGGTTTGAGGAGAATGCGTTCACAGAGAGGCCCCCAGCCATGCCCAGGTCCTTGCAGGCAACACTGGCAGCTGCGTCATCGAAGCCGTCATCGAACACGAGACCCCAGGTACCGTTGTAGCGCACCTCCAGCCAGCCCTCTGTCCCTCCTCCTGACAGTCGCACGCCCTCAAGCTCGGCTCCAGGAGTCCAGGCGGGGAAAAGTGGGGGCACCAAAGCTCCGGCGTTCTCCGTCGGCTCGTCGCCAACCACATCCAAAGTGCCCAGGCCCATCTCCCCATAGCGGTTCAGCCCGTAGCAGACGAGGTCATCACTGAGCCGTAAAGCGCAGGTGTAGTCTCCACCCAGCGAGACTCCCTGCACTCTGCCGACTTGCACGGGTTGCAGGTTGTCCCCCATCTCGCCAGCATTGTCTCCGATAGTCTCTACGCTGCCTCGCCCCAGCTGGCCCGAAACGTCGGAGCCCCAACATTTGAGGCTGTCGTCAGCAAGCACCGCACAGCTGTGGCTCTTCCCCGCTGCTACTTGCTGGGCCGACAGCCCACTGCCGAGGTCGACTTCGATGGGCTGGTCGAGGCCTCGGGACTGCGTTTCGCCGCTGCCCAGCTGCCCCGAGTAGCTTGACCCGAAACAGACCACCTTCCCACTTTCGAGGCGGAGGCATGCATGACTCTGCCCCACCGTGATCTGTGTAGCTGGCTCCGAAAGCTGTACTCTAGGAAGTCCAGGGCCCATCTCGTCAGGTGCCTTCCCCACAATCCTCACTCCGAAGAACATGCTGGGATCGATGAGGCTCCCCCAGCAGGTGACAGTTCCCTCGATCGACAAAGCACAGCTTTGCATGCCTCCAGCCGCGAGCTGCTGGACTCGGAACTGGCCGAGGTCCAGTGCAGACAACTTGTCGCCCATGTGACGGGGCCTGTCCCCGTGGCTGTTCGTGGCATTGCCCAGGCCCAGCTGGCCGCGCAAGTTCTGGCCGAAACACTTCACCGCCCCTCCTCGAAGCAGGACACACGTGTGATTGGAGCCACAGGCCACCTGCATGGCTTCGGTGCCGACGCCCAAGCTCACAGAAGGCAAGAAATGCCCCATCTCGCCGGCCTCATCACCGACCGCTGCATCGCTCTCCGAGCCCAGCTGCCCCCAGCTGCCGTCACCCCAGCATTTGAGGGACCCTCCTTGAAGCACTGCACATGTGTGGAACTCTCCGGCACAAGCTTGCAATACGTCGCCATCCAGGTCCACCGTCGGCTGCTGCAGCCCGACTTCAAGCGGATCGTCGCCTAGGTTTTCCGTGTTGCCGTAGCCAAGCTGGCCTCTGGAATTGTCCCCCCAGCATTTGAGCATTCCGGCGGCTAAGGCGCACTGGTGTTTAGTGCCAGCGATTAGTGCCATGGCCGCAGGAACGGCTCTGTTGGCTTGCTGCTGCCAGATGAAGACGTCATCCACGGCGATCTCAACTTCTGCCAAGCTCCCGATCTTGCCAACTATCGTGGTTGAGGCCGTAAAGCGTACGGCCGTCGTGGCTTCAGGAAGCCCGAGCTTGACCTGTTGCCAGGCATTGCCCTGGGATCCTTTCTTCCCCCACCGCTTCTTCCAGCGACCTCGGCTCCAAACGTCCACCCGAAGGCGGTATCCTCGATACCCGCGCATGCGATAAGCGAAGCCCAGGAAAATCTTGGCTTCTGTTTCGGGGAAGAAGGGGCTCTGCAGACTGACCTCCTTTCTCAAGTGTCCAAACCTCCCCCACTCTGCCAGAGACACGTATGCAAAGGAATCGCCTCTCCAGGCAGAAAGCCCGCCCCGGGCAGCAGAGGTGGTAGACCAGGCTCCCGACCACTTGCAGGTGTCGCCCTCGAAGCCGCAGTAGACATCCTCCAGCTGCGCGACGAAGGCACCTGTCTTGGCCTCCAAGGTGCCCAAAGTCACATCCTCGGAGCGGTTCACCGCTGCAAGAAGGCGCAAGGCCCTTGTGCCTGTGGGGATGGGGCCCATCATCTGTCGCCAAGGAGGAATTGAAAACCATGCTTCCGTCGGCAGATTGACCCAGTGGCCTGTGCCCACGAGGCGCTGCACTTGCAAAACGGGCCCCGGCTCCTGGAAGTGGAGCAGAAACATCCCTTCAGCAGCCTCGGAAATGATATGAGCACTTTCTATGAGGACCAGGGCTGCACCCTCCGGCATGCTGGATTGTCCGGGCAAATCATGAGAATCGAAAGGCTCGAACCACCAGCAGCCTTGGCGCCCAAAATCGCAAGAGAGGTCTTCAATCCTAAGGGCAGTCTGCACATGGTCAATGGCGATGTCGCTAGCCCAACTTGTCCCAGTGGTAGCAAGGAAGCGCAGACTTTGCGCCTCAGCAGGCAGCCTAACGCGGGCGTGATGCCAAACATCGCTTTGGCTGCCAGATCGGTACCAATCTGTGGTCCAAGCTTCTCCGTCCCAGGATTGCAGTGCCAAGTTGCCCATAGTTCTGCCGTGCATGTGGTAGGTGAAGTAGATATGTCTCTCTAGACCGTCGCCCCGGCTGAAAGGGGCGCTCTCCAGCACAAACTCCTTGTCGGGCGAGTTGCTTGCCTCCACGTACAGGTAGTAGCTGCCTCCGTACGCGGCCGGTGGCCCCGTCAGCAAGGAAGGTGTGGAACCGGTGCTCCTCAGCCAACGCTTGTCACCGACGGCCATCCAGCCGCAGGAATGGTCCTCGAAGCTGCAGGCCACGACATCATGAGGAACGTCAGGGATGGCAACCACGTCATCTAGGCCGACATCATACAAGTCTGGGCCTTCTGCAATGAAGCGCACTCGCCGAGCGTCCGATGGCAAGCCTACAACCGTCTGGCGCCAAGCATCATACTTGCTGCCAGGTTCGGTCCAGAGCGGAATCCACCGAGAGC